CACACACACATCAACTTGTACACAAAAACACGGACGTATAGGTAAGAAATTAAGGTACTGGCTGTGTCGGGTGGTGGAGGGTTACGACATATTTTTACTTACGCGATCTAACCCAAAAACCTGGATTATGAATGTGCGTGGCGTCAGTCAGCAGTAAGCAGACTTGTTAAGTCAAATGATGAAGAAACCAAAAGTATTTCTCTCTGCCTGAGTTAACAGACGTTTATTCCCCCCCCCCCCCCCCCCATCTGCCTACGAGTTGAAGATGAGCACGATCGCTGTGATTAGCTGGAACACAACAGCGAGGAAGGATGCAGTTTGCATCCTGCCGTGGATTTTTCTCCGGGTCCTCGGGTTTTTCCCTCCACATTTAGAATCAACATCACGCGTTTAGAATATTTGATTAATATTACATTTTCACATGATAAGCCACTTCGTTGAGCTATTATATGCGGCCAGGTCGCTTCTGAAAAAGCTATTTAGATCAGTGGGCTTTACCTGATAAAATAAAATCGTTTTATCTGCAGGTGTTACATGGGAAGAGATCCGACTAATGGGTCAAGACCGTGCCAGATATATCAAGTTCAGGTTTCAAATTTATTTTCCAGCAAAATCAGTTTAAGCAAATTATAGACTATAATAGTCCATAATAGAGGGTTTTTTTTAGTTAGATCGTGTAAATATATAAATGTGTCGTTAAACCCCGCCACCACCCGACACAGCCAACTAGTAAGGGTTCTCACGTAAACAGAACATGCCAATTCGTCACGAGTACAGCACTAGTGTATAGTGTAGGGTATAGTGTAGTGTATACTAGTACAGCACTAGTGTATAGTGTAGGGTATAGTGTAGTGTATACTAGTACAGCACTAGTGTATAGTGTAGTGTATAGTGTAGTGTATACTAGTACAGCACTAGTGTATAGTGTAGGGTATAGTGTAGTGTATACTAGTACAGCACTAGTGTATAGTGTAGTGTATAGTGTAGTGTATACTAGTACAGCACTAGTGTATAGTGTAGTGTATAGTGTAGTGTATACTAGTACAGCACCCCGGTGTGTTGGAGAGCCAAGCCACAACATTTACAATCTGAGTACGACGTTTCGCCAGTAATTACAACTAGCTTCATCAGGCGACAGCCAGATTTGTGGAAAAGTCCACCTGTTTTGTTCCTTATATAGAGGCGTAGATGTGGTGACCACGCTTCTGCACTCCTGTGCAAAGTGGGGGGGGAGGGGACTACTGAGTTAACGTACATTGTGCATGTTCATTATGCGAGCCCTTTGAACTTGTCCTTCCTGCCCATTGTGTGTATTAAAATAGCCGTACCAAAAGTAATCCCTATTGAAGTATGCTTCCCTTCATAGGCATGCATTTAAACAATGCATTAGTTGATGATCCGCTTCCACGCAGCACTAAGTCGGTAGCTATTCGAACGGTTAAATTTTAATTTCTTTATTTAAATTTCGATAGATTCTCTAATTAGTCTTGGCCAGTAGTAGCTAGTTTCGCACAGAACTTCAACAGTATCAAAAGTCCTTGTTGGCACGCGTGTTCTGCTCCTACTGACAGTTGTATTTGGGAGTATTTAATATTTCTCTAATTTTCTTTTAGTCTCGTGCTGATTATTCGTCCTGTTTGCCCAACATAGCATTTGCCACAAGTGCAGTTAATCCTCTACACGCCTTCTGTTGATAGCTTCGGTAATACATCATTTGTACCAGATATTAAGTTCTGTATTTTATGTAACGTGCCAAACATCTGGCTAGTTTATCAGTTACTCCCTCAATGTACGGTATTTTGATTGTTTTAATTACTTGGGCAGTTCCAATGCTCGTGTTATTTGATTTTGTTTTGGCATTCAGTGCCCTGTTGATTTGTACATCATTGTAACCGTTCATTTGCAGCGTTTATTTAACATGTTTCATTTAACTTCTCAGACTGTGACCATCTGACACTTTCTTAGCTCGATGAAGGAGCGTCTTGATAAGAGCAGATTTCTGTGCGGGGTGATGGTGTGACTCTGCATTCAGATAGGCGTCAGTGTGAATTTTCTTTCGGTAAACACGGTGTGTTATTTTACCATTTCTACCCCGTCCGAGCAAAATATCCAGAAATAGTAGAGTTCTGTCAGCTTCCACTTCCATGATGAACTGGATGGATAGATTTTGCGAGTTGAGATGATTTAGAAATTCGTTAAGTGTATATTTGCCCTGTGGCCAGACTCACCAATGTGTCATCCACATATCTAAACCAAGAGGAGGGTTTTAGTGTGCTTGAAGCTATTGCTTTTATTTCAAAATCTTCGATGTACAAATTCGCTATCGCAGGAGACAAAGGACAGCCCATTGCTGCTCCTTCCTTTTGTTAATAGAAGTCACCTTGCCACAAGAAGTACGTGTTCTTTAGACAGTGTTCAGCTAGTCTTGGGATATCTTTGGCTAAACCTTTGTTCGTTACCAGAGTGTCGAGTAATTTAATTGACTCGTTGACTGGAACCCTCGTGAACAGAGATGTTCAGAGTTTTTGATGAACGAAGAGGTTCTTCCGATGTAGGGCTGTATTTGTTTCGTTACGTATTGTGCTAATTTGTATGTGGCAGAGCCTATTGTACTAACTATGGCTGTTAATGGGTCATCAGGTTTGTGAATTTATAGACCAGTTAAACATTTTTTGCCAAAAATTAATGAATGTATTTGTAACAGCATGGCAACTCATACATCTGTGTACCAATTTCATCCTCGTTAAAAATCATAAGCATAGCAGAGCATAATCTTTCCCGATTGGCCACTGTGCGCATATGGCCAGCTGTTTTCCCTAATGTCACGTGGACATGTGCAGGGTTTACTTACAGCCGGAGCTGTCCAGGGCTGAGTGCCGGAAAATATCTCCCAACCCACGACAGTCGAGGATGGGGGCAGGGGGGGTGCAGTTGGGTGTTGGGGATCGGGAGTGGACACACGTGGTGCTAATCTCACATTTACCCCACACCGGCCTTTTAGAGGTGCGCGAGAGCATCGCTGGCTAAACACTGTCCAGGTGCCCCTAGGAGGGGCGATCCTTCGTTTGGTGTGTGGGGTGCATGGTTTGCTCGCTCTGTGCCTCCCGCCCTGCGTGATAATCCCTGGATGTGCCGATCATGTAATCTCTCTCTCGCTCTCTGCTACGGGTGCTGGAGCTGGGTTTGGTTCTGAGTGAGCAGATACTGTGCGGACCTGGGCTGGATTTCACCGTGACCCCAAAACAACGGACACACGCGCGTGCGCTCGCTCATTCATCGGCGCTCGCCCCGCAACAAAAACTCATCCGTCCCAAGTCGTCCCTCCGAGGTAAGGCAGGCATCGAGTGCTTCGGAAGGAAATGTCACTGTCGTTAGTGTGCGTTCGTTCGTTCGAGTTCTCTAAATCACTCATCCCGGTCGCGATCGTGCCCGTTTGCCGAGCTGACCGACAGCTGTTGAGTCCGATTCAAATGAGCTCACGAACGATGCGAATTTTGGGCAGCTCTTCAAAAAGAATAAATAATAAAACATCGTGCCAAAATTAGTTTTTTCATGGTTTTAAAATGAGATGCACGTTTCGGTCATGGCTGTATCCCACTGGCTGAGAGGGGGCTTATTTGAAGCCGCAGAATGGTCGTTTTTGTGAAATTGTCAATTCCAGTCGATGTCAAACTCCCACACCCACCGTGATGTTAGTGGTCTGGAGATCGCAGTACGGCATGGGAGTTTGTGAAGCCATACATGCAGATTTTGTTTGAGTATGCATCTGCAGGTGCTCTGATTTATTTTTTGAAAAGAAATTGGGCAAACAGTTGTGCGTATCTATGCCTCTCTACGAGTGTTGTGGGTCTCTGCCTAAGTCTGTGGATATCTAAATGGTGAAGCCACAAGCCAGTGATTTCCGGTTTCTCAATGAATCCAGCTATGCGAGTCATCATCTTCGACTGGAAAACCGAAGGCAGACTCTGTAGGCCCCTCCACCTGGAGCCAGGAGGCACGGCGATTGAGTTCGCAGGGTTCTGAGCTCTCCGCTGTGCTTACGGATTGTACCGCGTGGTGTTCAGTATGGTGTCTGACGTTCCTCAAACAAAAACAAAACCCCGTTCAACTTCAATAATTTTTATTTACCAGGTAAGGCCCCGCTGAGATATATAGTTTTTTTTTTCAGAAACGACCTGGTTACAAATAATAGCTTTATCACATGGCTATTTATAGCAGCCAAATGCTCAAAACGCGTGATGTTGATTCTAAATGTGGAGGTAAAAAACGGGAGGACCCGGAGAAAAATCCACGCCACCACGGAGAGAGAGAGAGACGCGCAAACTGCGTCCTTCCGCACTGTTGTGTCCCAGCTAATCACAGCGATCGTCCTCGTCTTCACCTCGTAGGCAGATGGGTGGGAAAAAGCAAATAAACGTCTGTTAAATCAGGCAGAGAGAAATACGTTTGGTTCCTTCGTAATTTGACTAAACAAACTCCAAATATACAACATGCGTCATGGTCTGGATCTATCCCATGACCTCCTGCATACCAGGCAAGGGAGTTAACATCTCGCCATCACTCCACCTGCTGGGAGCTTCTTTCAGGTCGGTCTCTGAAGTAGCTTCCAGAACGTGGAGCAAAACGTCGGACATCACGCCGAACAACACGCGCGGGGTACAAGCCGAAAACACAATGGACAAGCCAGACAGCAGGACCGTGAACACTCACGCAGTATTATAGCCGGAGGTTAAAAAACACACTGATGTCCCCCCGAGGTTCAGAAAAACACTGAGGCCCCCCCCCGCTCCCCGAGGTTCAGAAACACACTGATGTCCCCCCGAGGTTCAGAAAAACACTGAGGCCCCCCCCGCTCCCCGAGGTTCAGAAACACACTGATGTCCCCCCCGAGGTTTAGAAACACACTGAGCCCCCCCCCACCGAGGTTCAGAAACACACTGATGCCCCCCACCCCCCCCCCCCCCCGTGTCGTTGGCGTTGTGTGGGAGACAGAGGCCGTGATGAGGCTGTGGAAGTTGCTGATCAAGCGGAGGGCGTGGGTGCCCAGGAGGATCTTGGTGGCCACGTGCCACGTCCTTCTGTTCTATGGTGAGCGCAGCGGACTCGCAAACACGTGCGTGTTGCGTACACAACACACAAACACACACAAACACACACACACAAACACGTCCATGTTGTGTACGCACACACAAACACACACACACACAAACACGTCCATGTTGTGTACGCACACAGACACGCGCGTGTTGTGTACACACACACAAACACACACACACACACAAACACGTCCATGTTATGTACGCACACACAAACACGTCCGTGTTGTGTACACACACACAAACACGCGCGTGTTGTGTACACACACACAAACACGTCCATGTTGTGTACACACACACAAACACCTCCGTGTTGTGTACACACACACAAACACGTCCGTGTTGTGTACACACACACACAAACACGCGCGTGTTGTGTACACACACACAAACACGTCCATGTTGTGTACACACACAAACACGCGCGTGTTGTGTACACACATAAACATACACACACGCGCGTGTTGTGTACACACACAAACACGTCCATGTTGTGTGCGTACACAACACGCGCGTGCTGTGTACGCACACACAAACACACACACACGTCCGTGTTGTGTAAGCACACACAAACACGCGCGTGTTGTGTACACACACACAAACACGTCCGTGTTGTGTACACACACACAAACACACGCGTGTTGTGTACACACACACAAACACGTCCGTGTTGTGTACACACACACAAACACGTCCGTGTTGTGTACGCACACACAAACACGCGCGTGTTGTGTACGCACACACAAACACGCGCGTGTTGTGTACGCACACACAAACACGCGCGTGTTGTGTACTCACACACAAACACGCGCGTGTTGTGTACGCACACACAAACACGTCCGTGTTGTGTACGCACACACAAACACGCGCGTGTTGTGTACGCACACACAAACACGCGCGTGTTGTGTACGCACACACAAACACGCGCGTGTTGTGTACGCACACACAAACACGCGCGTGTTGTGTACGCACACACAAACACGCGCGTGTTGTGTACGCACACACAAACACGCGCGTGTTGTGTACGCACACACAAACACGCGCGTGTTGTGTACGCACACACAAACACGCGCGTGTTGTGTACGCACACACAAACACGCGCGTGTTGTGTACACACACACACAAACACGCGCGTGTTTGATTCCTGCTCATGGCCACCACCAGTGACGATTATCTGAACCGGTCCTGGGCCTCCCCTAGGTCCACTCAGCCTCAAGTGAGTACCTGGTGCGGTGTGTAAACATCGCCACTGGGGAGACAAAGGCGGTCGGGCGTGGTGCTGGCCACCCACCCCCTCGTGTGCCGTGCCGGCCTTCATAGGTGCTCGCTAACAGCACTTGCCCCAACAGTCTATTGAGGTTAAAGTCCCCTTCTCAAATTCTCAGTCAAGTCAATAATTAAGAATAGGAAAATACCAAAAATAAATATTAGCTTTGGCGAAGCAAATGCCTTAAGAGAGCTTCGATTAAATAAATAAATTCTAATTCTGGCAGCTGATAAAGGCCGCAATACTGTAGTGATGTCCCGAACAGATTATGATAATAAAATTAAAGATTTACTGGAGGAAAATGCCTATATTAAAATTAAACGAGATCCAACTAAAACCTTAGAACGGAAGACTTCTGCAATCATTCAAATTCATTAATCCCCAAGACTGAGCAATACCAAATTAAGCCACAGGCCTCAAAACCACCAAGATTGTATTGACTACCAAAGATTCATAAAATCGGTATCCCATTACGACCCATAGTAAGTACAATAGGCTCTGCCACATATACATTTGCAAAACATGTAACTAAACAATTACAGCCCTACATCGGTAGGATATCAACATTTATAAGAAATTCAAAACATCTTCTCAATGTGATTAAAGATATTAAACTTAACCCGAATGATATTCTGGTGAGTTTTGATGTAATTTCTCTATTCACTAAGGTTCCAGTTAACGAGTCGCTTAATTACTTGATACACTCGTAAAGAATACAGGTTTACCAAAAGATATTCCAAAACTAGATGACCATTAAATTCTGACTTAAAACTTTCGTGACTGCAGGAATTCATATTATTTGGTTGTTTCGGTAAAGACATGTAGATATGAAAAAAATAAAGTGAATAAAATGAATACAAAATAAAATAAAAACAAAAAACACTATTGTAGACTGTAGCCTGGTTCTTAATCGGAGTGAGTGTACTGGCAGTCTGTAATGTAGACTGTAGCCTGGTTATTAAGTTTGGTGAGTGTACTGGCAGTCCATAATGTAGACTGAAGCAATGGTTAATAAGCCGGGTGAGTGTACTGGCAGTCTATAATGCAGACTGTAGCCTGGTTATTAAGTTTGGTGAGTTTACTGACAGTCTATAATGTAGACTGAAGCAATGGTTAATAAGCCTGGTGAGTGTACTGGCAGTCTATAATGCAGACTGTAGCCTGGTTGATAACCTCGGTGAGCGTACTGGCAGTCTATAATGTAGACTTATTCTTGGTTCTTTCGGTAATAAAAATAAAATAAATTAAAAAAATAAAACCACGACGTTTCGATAACAACACATGCGATCGTCTTCCTCCTGAAGTAGATCGCTTGTGTCTTCAGGAGGAAGACGATCGCTTGTGTTGTGATCGACACGTCGTGTTTTTTATTTTTACCGAAAGAACCAAGGATAAGTCTACATTATGGACTGCCAGTTCGCTCACCAAACTTAAAAACCAGGCTACAGTCTACATTATAGACTGCCAGTTCGCTCACTCAGTTTAATAACCAAGGCTACAGTCTACATTATAGACTGCCAGTTCGCTCACTCAGTTTAATAACCAAGGCTACAGTCTACATTATAGACTGCCAGTTTGCTCACTCAGTTTAATAACCAATGCTACAGTCTACATTATAGACTGCCACTACGCTCACCGAGGTTAATTACCAGGCTACAGTCTACATTATAGACTGTCAGTACACTCACCGAGCTTAATAACCAGGCTTGAGTCTACATTACAGACTGCCAGTACACTCACTCCGATTAAGAACCAGGCTACAGTCTACAAAAGTGTTTTTTTTTGTTTTTTCTTAATTATTTTTTATCCAGTAATAAGTTTTACCCTTTTAGCTGGCACAAAAAGTGACACCTTTATACAAGGCATCATGTTTGCAATAACCACAACACAAGCAGTCAAAAATGCAAACAAAAAGAGACAACTCTGATAATAACTCTGATAATAATATGCACTGTCCTTGAATTTGATTGGTCCACACCCGAGATGGCTTTTCTTAGAGCCTAGTCTCCACTGGTGTTGGACCAGATGACACCAAAAGGCGTACAACTAAAAAAAACAGCACACTATCAGAGTATTGAGAGCTCGGGGTAAGCCTTTACATTATGAGACCTCCTTTGCCAGTAACAAGATATAGTAATAGGTTTTTACCCTTTTAGCTGGCACAAGGACAGTGCATATCATATCATCATCAGAGTTTTTTCTTTTTGTTTGCATTTTTGACTGCTTGTGTTGTGGTTATTGCAAACATGATCCCTTGTATAAAGGTGTCAGTTTTTGTGCCAGCTAAAAGGGTAAAAACCTATTACTATATCTTGTTACTGGCAAAGGAGGTCTCATAATATTTTTTATCCACTTTATTTTTATAATTATTTTTCTATCTACGTGACTTTACCGAAAGAACCAAAGAATAGCTGACCATTGTCTAAATAACACTTATTTATAATGGAGAGGTAACTTCTTTAAACAAAAGGAAGGGGCAGCAATGGGCTCTCCTTTGTCTGCTGCTATAGCAAATCTGTACATGGAAAACTTTGAAACAAGACCACTTGCCTCAAGCACATTAAAACCATATTTTTGGTTTAGATATGTCGATGACACTTTGGTGAGTCTGGCCACATGGTAAAGATACACTTAGTGATTTTTTTAATCATCTCAATGCACAAAACCCGGCCATCCAGTTCACCATGGAAACGGAGGTGAATAACACACTTGGCATCATCACCCAGCACAGAAATCCTCTCTCATCATGACGCTCATACATCGGGCAAAAACAGTGTCAGATGGTGAAAGTCTAAGGAGAGAGATTAAACATGTTAAAAATCGCTACGACTGAATGGCTACAGTTTAACACGTAGGCTTTCGCGACCAATATTATTCATAATAAAGGTTTTTGGCTACAATAATGATCAAAATAACAGAGCATTGAATGCCAAACCAAGACCGAACAACAATACTGCTGAAAGTGATCAGATTATCAAAACAATTTAAATACCATATATCTCGGGAGTTACTGACGAATTAGCCCGTGTTTTTCAAAAGCAAAACATTGAAGTAAGATTTGGTACGGTACACAAAATTCTAAAACTAGTGTCTTGTACTAAAGATTAATTACCAGAAGGTGTATATCGGATCAATTGCTTATGCGGTAAATGCTGTATTGGACAGACGGGACGTAGCATCATCGTAAGACTAAAATAACACCAAAGGAACATTAAATTATCTCAAACACAACTGTCAGCAGTGGCAGAGCATGCTTGCCAACAAGGACATTCAATTGACTTTGATAACGTTGAAGTGTTATGCAAAACTAATTATTACTGCCCAAGACTAATTAGAGAATCCATCGAAATTGAGAAAAATACAAATAATTTAATCCGCTCTGATAGCTACAGACTTATCGCAGCCTGGAAGCGAATTATTAAGTAATACACAATACATATTACAATTCCTTATAGAGGAATCACATACTAATTAACTGATTACTAATATATTATATAATTACAATATCAACCACTTACGACCTCTGATCTCGAAACGTGATGACGTCGTCCTGCACTATTTACGACCGGGAGCAGGTGGATTGCTTCACTATTCTGGCAAATCGCCCGAAGATGCTGGATGTAATTACCAGCGAAACGTCGTACTCAAATTCGAAATGTTGTGGAATCACTCTTCAAACACACCGGTGGCCTGAAGATGTAACTAATTGGCGTTTTCTTAACGTGACACATTTTTTTTACTGATTGGCCGTGTCGTGTGGTGGAGGGTTATGACACATTTATAATAACGCGAACCCAAAACACCTTTATCATGAATAATACTGGTCGCGAAAGCCTACGTGTTTAAAAGCCAAATAAGGGTTGGTACAGTCATTATTAACACCAGCGGTTGTTTTTCTCAGCTTTTCCACTTATACACGGGGGATGATAGCCAGCGCATCAGTGCGGACACAAGCCGACCGTATCGTTCATCATTCTGGTCAGCGTTCAACGGTTGTTAAAAGCTGGAAGGGCAGCAAGACATGGATTAGCAACTCTGATTATCGCGGTTGGCTACGTACGGTGCGAAATAAGTTCAACACATAAATTAGTCCATCCCGTGACATTAATACCAGGTCACTCGAGAAAATGAGACTATATTTGTCTTTTGAGTTCCCACGTGGACGCTGCGGTGGCGAGATGTTAACTACCTCGCTTGGTGTACAGGAGGTCGTGGGTTCGATCCTGACAATGGTGAGATGTTAACTACCTCGCCTGGTGTACAGGAGGTCGTGGGTTCGATCCTGACAATGGTGAGATGTTAACTACCTCGCCTGGTGTACAGGGGGTCGTGGGTTCGATCCTGACAATGGTGAGATGTTAACTACCTCGCCTGGTGTACAGGAGGTCGTGGGTTCGATCCTGACAATGGTGAGATGTTAACTACCTCGCCTGGTGTACAGGGGGTCGTGGGTTCGATCCTGACAATGGTGAGATGTTAACTACCTCGCCTGGTGTACAGGGGGTCGTGGGTTCGATCCTGACACTGGTGAGATGTTAACTACCTCGCCTGGTGTACAGGTCGTGGGTTCGATCCTGACAATGGTGAGATGTTAACTACCTCGCCTGGTGTACAGGTCGTGGGTTCGATCCTGACACTAGTGAGATGTTAACTACCTCGCCTGGTGTACAGGTCGTGGGTTCGATCCTGACAATGGTGAGATGTTAACTACCTCGCCTGGTGTACAGGAGGTCGTGGGTTCGATCCTGACAATGGTGAGATGTTAACTACCTCGCCTGGTGTACAGGGGGTCGTGGGTTCGATCCTGACAATGGTGAGATGTTAACTACCTCGCCTGGTGTACAGGAGGTCGTGGGTTCGATCCTGACAATGGTGAGATGTTAACTACCTCGCCTGGTGTACAGGGGGTCGTGGGTTCGATCCTGACAATGGTGAGATGTTAACTACCTCGCCTGGTGTACAGGGGGTCGTGGGTTCGATCCTGACACTGGTGAGATGTTAACTACCTCGCCTGGTGTACAGGTCGTGGGTTCGATCCTGACAATGGTGAGATGTTAACTACCTCGCCTGGTGTACAGGTCGTGGGTTCGATCCTGACACTAGTGAGATGTTAACTACCTCGCCTGGTGTACAGGTCGTGGGTTCGATCCTGACACTAGTGAGATGTTAACTACCTCGCCTGGTGTACAGGTCGTGGGTTCGATCCTAACAATGGTGAGATGTTAACTACCTCGCCTGGTGTACAGGAGGTCGTGGGTTCGATCCTGACACTGGTGAGATGTTAACTACCTCGCCTGGTGTACAGGAGGTCGTGGGTTCGATCCTGACAATGGTGAGATGTTAACTACCTCGCCTGGTGTACAGGAGGTCGTGGGTTCGATCCTGACACTAGTGAGATGTTAACTACCTCGCCTGGTGTACAGGTCGTGGGTTCGATCCTAACAATGGTGAGATGTTAACTACCTCGCCTGGTGTACAGGAGGTCGTGGGTTCGATCCTGACACTGGTGAGATGTTAACTACCTCGCCTGGTGTACAGGAGGTCGTGGGTTCGATCCTGACAATGGTGAGATGTTAACTACCTCGCCTGGTGTACAGGAGGTCGTGGGTTCGATCCTGACAATGGTGAGATGTTAACTACCTCGCCTGGTGTACAGGAGGTCGTGGGTTCGATCCTGACAATGGTGAGATGTTAACTACCTCGCCTGGTGTACAGGAGGTCGTGGGTTCGATCCTGACAATGGTAAGATGTTAACTACCTCGCCTGGTGTACAGGAGGTCGTGGGTTCGATCCTGACCCAGACGTCTGCTGCTGTGTATTTGGAGTTTGCGTGTCCCTCGTGGTTGCGTGGATTTTTATCGGGTTCTTCCAGTTCTTCCCCTCCATATTTATAAATATGCGTTTAGAGTACTTGGCAGATAAAAAAATTTGGCAGATGTACAAGTCGAGTCTCAAAAAGAGCTGTGTTAAGACCAGAGGGCCTTACCTGGTTCAAATTAAAAAAAATATATATATATAGTTTCAAATTTTAAATTTTAAACCTGACCATGCCATATCTGGCAGCTCGACCAGACTCAATCATAACAACAACGGAACTCTCCCTCTCTCTCTCTCGTCCGGCTCGCTCTTCTCCCGTGCCAGCAGCGACCCTGGCGTGCGCCTGCTGCACGCTCTGGGCCGCCGTGGCCGCAGCCGCGACGTCCGGGGGCTGCGCGCACGCGTGCCCCGCAGGCTGCTCGTGCGGCGTGGCGGCCGACGTGGGCTACAGCGTCTTCTGCGAGCGAGCGGGGCTCACGGCCATGCCGCCCGCCTTCCCCTGCCTGGCGCGCTCCCTGCACCTCACGAGAAACCGTCTGCGGTTGCTGCCCGAGCGCGCGTTCGGCAGCCTGGCCCTGCTCCAGCAGCTCTTCCTCAACCACAACAATGTCACCTTCCTCACGCCCGGCGCCTTCCGCGGTAAAGGCCGCCACTGCCGCCGCCGAGTCCCGTTCAAGATGCTCGCCCCGTTCCATTGACTCTCCCCTCTCGTCTCACTCTGCTCCTCTCCCACACGCTCTCTCCTGCCTCTCCCCTCTCACTCTCCTCTCCCACACGCTCTCTCCTGCCTCTCCACTCTCACTCTCATCTCCCACACGCTCTCTCCTGCCTCTCCCCTCTCACTCTCCTCTCCCACACGCTCTCTCCTGCCTCTCCCCTCTCACTCTCCTCTCCCACACGCTCTCTCCTGCCTCTCCACTCTCACTCTCCTCTCCCACACGCTCTCTCCTGCCTCTCCCCTCTCACTCTCCTCTCCCACACGCCCTCTCCTGCCTCTCCCCTCTCCTCTCCCACACGCTCTCTCCTGCCTCTCCACTCTCCCACACGCTCTCTCCTGCCTCTCTCCTCTCACTCTCCTCTCCCACACGCTCTCTCCTGCCTCTCCCCTCTCACTCTCCTCTCCCACACGCTCTCTCCTGCCTCTCCCCTCTCACTCTCCTCTCCCACACGCTCTCTCCTGCCTCTACACTCTCACTCTCATCTCCCACACGCTCTCTCCCGCCTCTCCCCTCTCACTCTCCACTCTCCCACACGCTCTCTCCTGCCTCTCCCCTCTCGTCTCAACTCTAGTCCCCTCCGCATGCCAGCCAATCGTCGCTTCGTCGAAGATCGCCCATTCTCCTCTGCTACCCAAACTGTCTGGAATGTTTTTTTTCTTATTCCCCCCCCCCCAAGCCATCCATGCTATCAACTTCCCCAGATACAAAATAAAACCACCACGTGGTAACGTGGTCCCCCTACTGGCAGACTTTTGCCCATATGCAGACCCGTGCTCTTTACGTACCGCGAAGGCACAGCTCCCATCAGGGTGATGCCTATGCACGCCTGTAATCCACCTTATTACAGACCAATTTAGACCCTATTGGTCACCCTGTGCCCCTTATAAATCCAAACGTATGCGTCACCACATTTTGTGAAACTACCTTGGCTCGCCAGCAGGGGGCACAGCAAAATGTGTGACGAATCTCCATCTATTCCATTTGTGCGGTATAAAGTGTCATAGCTCTCAACCCATACGGCTTACCCGAATTATTGTACAGAGAAAATTGAGTTATCGGGTCCATACAGCGCACAGCCGTTTCAATAGGGGCAAAAACATTTGTCTTTGTTTGTGTTTCTCCCTTGCGATGGGATTCTGTCGGATGAACGTTGCGATTTATAAGGGGCACGGGGTGTGAATTGGTCTGTAATAAGGTAGGGCACTGATAAGGGGTTGACAGGTATGTAGTAGTGTAGTGTATAGTGTAGTGTATATGATGAACATTGAGATGTATAAGGGCACAGGTATGGAGTGTTGCCCCCTTGCAGGCGTGGATTTTTTTTTCTCCGGGTGCTCTCGATTCCTCCCGCTCGTTAATTGGCTGAACATATTCATCTTTGCGCCTCCGTATTTTCAGATTTCGCAGCGTTGTGGGATCCAGTTGCATCAACGACGCTGCGTTGTGAACACTCCATAGGATGAATGTTATGGTTATAATTATTATTGGCCGACTGTTCTACAGCCGCAGAGGGCACTGGTCCGCTCGAGACCAGATGAGATGCGCGCGATATAAGGCCCTCCCCAGTAGACATGCAACGTCGGGCCAACGTTGCCCCGATGTCAACTAACGTTACCGGCAAAGTCAGCCAACGTCAACTAACGTCGCCCTGACATACACCAACGTTGGCCCAACGTTGACCCAACGTCAACTAATGTTGCCCCGACCTGAACCAACGTTGGCCCAACTTTATGTCAACGTTGAGTCAACGTTGACCCAATGTCAACCAACGTTGGCTCAACGTCAACGAACGTCGCCCCGTCGTTGCGCGTTCACTGGCGCGGTCGTCGTCGTGGTCTCGAGAGCGCAGGCCTGCCGAGCGTGAGCATGCTGAGCCTGGCACACAACCGGCACTTCACGGCGCTGCACACGCGCAGCTTCGAGGGCCTGCCGTCCCTTCGCCTGCTCGACCTGTCGGCCTGCAACCTCTTCTCGCTGCCCGACCGCATCCTCCTGGAGCTGCACGCGCTGCGGGAGCTGCGCGCCTGGGGCAACCGCATGCGCCGCGTGCCGGGTGCGGTGCAGGGCCTCTCGCGCCTCTCGCACCTCTACCTGGGGCAGAACAACATCGAGGCCGTGGCCTACAACTCGCTGCACGGCCTCGTGGGCCTCGTGCTGCTCGACCTGCAGGTGCGGCGCCGTGCGAGCCCTCTCGGAAACCAACGGGTCAGACCCCGGGGGGGGGGGGGACGGCAAACCTGCGGCTCCGGGGAGCCACGTGCGGACTGCTCTTTAAGGGGCCGCTTCGTGACGTTATTTTTAAAGGGCCCACCGCCCCGAGTGTTCACCACGGTGTGCATTGCGGCTCTTGAAATATCGAGTTGTTTTTTTTTGCTTTACCCAATTCGAAAAAAAAATTCGCTGTTCTTGTTATTTTTGTTACCAACCCCTGGCGCAGTGACGACTTTATCAGCTAAGATGGGGTGCGGCTAACGGTCAGTAGGAAGCCCCAGTATTTGATTTGTCTCTCACGGTAGTTGTCAACGGGGGTCCCAACTCGTAGCTTGACCCACCGTGGGGAAGGGGGGAGGGGGGCAAGGCACCGCGTCCCCCCACGCTTGTGCGCCCGCTCTAGATAGGGGAAGCCGTTCCGTCTGCATGAGTGACCGTGCAGGCAATTACACCAGCAGCTTGATATTGGGAAGCCACCGGAGCTATGCACTTGTAAATCACGTGTACCGGTGGTTCTTAACCTGGGCTGCAGGCACCCCCTGGGAGTGCGAGATGCCCTTTCTGGGAGTGCGAGGCATGGCCAGATTTTCTTTAGAAGGTAAATCATCGAAACACAAATTAAACACGGTTTCATCAAACCTATGTATGTATTAGCTTTCACTGCAAGACTGCTGTGAAGGTTAAGAACCACTGATATAGATTGAAAACTCATTTCTTTAAATCTGCTTTTTGCGTGTTGGTTTGCTGTCCTTCCCCCGCGCACATCCGATAAGCACGGTTGGCTCTGTACGGTGCGAAATAAGTTCTACATAATATAAATATACATAGCCCATACCGTGACAATGACACCACCAGATCACTCTGGAAAATGAGACTATCCTTGTCTTTTGAGTTCCCACATGGTTAAATCAAATACACTTGAAACCTGAACTTGACATATCTGGCAGCTCAACCAGACTCAAGCATAACAAAAACATACAGAATCAAAATATTTCATTATACTGGAGGAATCCGATGAACTATAAAGCTCTTTTTCACAGATGTCCAGTCGGGGCGGGTAATAACGTTAGAATGTCAAACAAAACAAACACATTCATGCATGTTGGGCTGCACCTTTCTCTTTGCATGTTCAGTATGTTGGAACTTCTTTCGCACCGTACGTAGCCAACCGTGCTCAGAGTCCTGGCTCGAGCTCCTCTTGGGTTGTGTTTGGGAGGGGGGAGGGGGACCATGCCGGAGATTCCCCACTCAGGAAGAGAGTGAACTTGGGCAGGCCAGAGGGACATTTATACTCCACACTACACTACAACATACCTGTCAACCCCTTGTCAGTGCCCCACCTTGTTACAGGCCAATTCAGACCTTATTGGTCACCGCGTGCCCCTTATAAATCGCAACGTTCATCCTACAACGTCCCATCACAAGGGAGAAACACAGACAGACAATTATTTTTTACCCGTATTGAAACGGGTGTACGCCGTATGGACCTGAGATCTCAATTTCCCTGTACAAGAACACGGGGCAAACCGTCTGGGTTGACAGCTGTGCATTTGGTGGTGCAGGCCCCAGCCCATCACTCCATCTAGCGCCGGTCTCGCTCGCTCTCCATATCGTCATCAGTGCTGCGTGTCGCTGGCCGATTTGCGTATATTGGCTCCTGGAAACTGCGTTCAGTAACTACGATTCAAATTTAAACCCCAGCGTAATCACTGACACCCCCTTGCCCCACCCCCTCCCCAAAGACAAAGTTCCCCCAATAGCCTTTAATAGACTGTTGGGGCAAGAGCTGGTAGCGAGTAGCACCTAGGGAGGGGGTGGGTGGCCAGCACCACGCCCGGTCTCCTTTGTTTCGCTAGTGGCGATATTTACACGCCGCACCAGGTACTCATTTGTACGTATGTTTGTTGAACTTTTTCACACCGTACGTAGCCAACCGTGCTAATCGGAGGTGCAAATTTGAGGCCGAGTCCACCTAGCGGAGGCCCAGAACCGGTTCAGATAATCGCCGCCGGTGTTGGCCGTGAGCGGGAATCGAACTCGGGTCGCCGGGTTCCTTAGCGCGGCGCGTTAACCCCCTTGCGGCCACCGCTCTCCTCCCCACCGCAACCACCTCCAACCACGCGCAGGGCAACAACATCTGGGTGGTGCACAACAGCTCGTTCCACGACTGCTCGCACCTGGAGGACCTGTACCTCAACGACAACGAGCTCTCCTCGCTGCCTCCCCTCGCCTTCATCGGCCTGCTCCGCCTGCGGCTGCTCAACCTCGGCGGGAACCGGCTGCGCGCCGTGACCGGCAGCTGGTTCTGGTCGCTGTCGGCGCTGCGCGAGCTCTACCTGGACCGCAACGAGCTGTCCACGCTGGACGCCGGCGCCTTCCGCCAGCTGGGAGTGCTGAGCTCGCTGCACCTCAACCACAACAACCTCACGTGGCTGTCCGAGGAGGCCCTCGCAGGTCGCTCGGACGCTCCGACAACGGCGTTCCTCAAAGAGCGCTGCTTTGCGTGGGGAGGGCAGCGAGGGGGGTTAAAGGGAAAAAAAAACGTGCAATGATGGAGGTTCATTGCCCAGAACGTCGCCTGTTATCATCGTCGTCATCACGATCCATGCGCAGATATCCCGTAGGCTTCCACAACACGTCATTTGTTTCCACTTTCCTCCGTCTTGTGCCAATATGCTCAATACGCCTCCAATATATCACCCACATCGCCTGTCACAGCGGTTCCCAACCTTCTGGAGCGTGCGGACCCCTTTTCAACCTCCAAACATTTCCCGGGCCACCGCGACCGCACCGATCGCCGCGCCTCCAACGAGCACGTCTGTGGCTACGTACGGCGCCAAAGAAGTACGTACGCGCATGCTACGAGTTACTCGAAATCGCATTTCCTCCCCCCCGCCCCCCCCGTACGTTGCAGGCCTGACGTCGCTGCAGCGCATCTACCTCTTCCGCAACCCCTGGCACTGCACCTGCGCGCTGCGCTGGCTGCGTGGCTGGTCGCCGGCGCTTGGCGTCAGGGTCCGCGACGTCACCTGCGCCTCTCCCGAGTCGGCCGCCGGCCTGGAGCTGAGCGCGGTGCCGTTCCGCTACACGGACGCCCGCGAGTGCCGCCCCGGGTCGCAGCGGGCGGCGGCGGCGGCGGCGGCGGCGGCGGCGCCCGCGCGGCCGAGCGAGGGCCGGCTGAGCGCAATGCTGTCGCGCATGCTGCTCGAGACGTTCAAGAACGCGAGCGCCGCGGCCGGCGCGGCCAACGCCTCCGACGGGACCGACGGCGGTGGAGTTTGGGGAAACTGGACCGACGGCGCCAACGCCGCCGCCGCCGCCGCCGCCTCCCGCGCGAGTCTGCTGGCGCTGGCGGTCGTCGTCACCGCCGCCGCCGCGGCTGCGGCGTCTCCGCCGTGACTGTAGCCGGCGTTCGCCTTCGTTGGCCTGCAGTTACTCAACGAGGTGGCACAGCCGGAGAGGCCGAGCGTTGTTTTTGGAGCGGAGCCGTCGGCCGCCGGGCTTTGGCCCGCTTGCGCTCGGCGGAGCTGCGCGATGTTGGGAGCGTGTGCGCCGAGTGAAGCGTACTGCTCACGGTGACGGGAAAAGATGCAGGCCCTGAGATTGTTGCTTTTTTTTTTTCAAACACCAATGCTGGCGGAAAGAGCCCTCCACTCGAGGGAGCTCTGAGAGGGTATTTTGGCCACCTTCTCCACACCGGCCAAAGATGGGGGCGCAGTATTTCCACTTTGAACAACCACACGCAACCTCCCAACTGCGGTGTGCCCATTGATACTGCTGGATCGACAAGAGGCAGAGGGATTTAATACATTTGTGCATTGTCTCAACTGCTATTCCGGGAGAGAAATCGATTGCAAGTCTGTTGTGCTAACCATTACATCATGGTAGCAGACTGTAGAGTTCTTTTGTTCATCGCAAAAGCTGGGCTGGTTTTAATCTGAGTGCAGTTCCTTAAAAGCTTCACTCTTTCAAGGGTATGATTCATGTGGATGTGGTGGCAATGCCCCTCAACTAATTTTGGGCTAGATTTGTAGCAATGACTACAACCCCAACACACGGGAAAAATCACCAAAATTGTACATTTGCTTAACTTGTTTAATTTTAAAATGTACATCTGGTTCCAAAAATCTGTTTGGCAAATCGAGATGTGTGTTCACGCAGTGGCAACCCAATCTACAGTTTGAATTTTGGTGACCAACTAATTTTCTTGTAACCACGATTCGCTGAACGATGCTAAGGCAATTAGTCCATGATCCCAGACCAAATGTTTTTTGTTGGTACCAATATCTTTAAATCGCCAACACAGGTGAACTATGCAGTGACCTTATTTAACAGGCATGCCTTCACTTTTATTCAACGCACAAACTTGTGTCACTAAATATTTGCCACCGCTCGTGGTGCCCAAATCTCCTCTGGCCCCCTGGACTATTTAAGTGGCATGTAATGTATTTATCCACAACGTGAGTGATGCAGTGTGCATGCTAACACCCTCTAACGTTGCATATTATGGCCAGGTGGAGCAAAACGTGTCGAGAGATTAACATTCGAGGTCTACGAGAGGAACTGTGGGAGGTGGGGGGCTTGGCAAGGGCTTCCGTCCAGCAGTGGATTTGACCATGGATGACGCCGATTACCATGGATGACGCAGAATGGCACCGACATGAACATTCTTTCATCCAGCAGCGAACAAATGGTGGACTGTTAAAAAAAAAGCTTAAATAAAGATTCAACACGGACGCACGTAATAGTTACATAATAGTGTATTTAAAAGTACAACAAATATCACGGCAAATTAAACATTCGCTTTGTCGCATCCTACTTTACACTTCAGTGTTTCATTTATTCAATGCTGTATTATGTTCAATGTGTAAACGTTTATAATCGTGTTAGGTTACAATCATTTCATACATAACACATGACATATACACAGTAGAGCACATTAAAGGATTTGTCTACTGCAAGTTTTAATGAAAATAATATACAGGCAGACCTCGCTGAGCATTCAAGATGCATTCCTGGATAAATGAGCGCTTATTGAATGGGCGCTAAAAAGGGTGTCATTACACCATTGTACATGCAGTCCCAAGCCCTTTATTTCTTAAATGTGAGCAACAGCACTAATAATAATAATACAGATGGCAAAACATTACTTCATAAATAAAATGAATAATTTATAACATCGGTATAATGTACTATTACTCACGAGTTCATTCTAAATTTTGATTTAAAGCTTTCGTGACTGCAGTAATTCATATTCTTAGTTTTTTCGGTAAAGTCACGTTGAAGAGAAACAACAAAATAATAAAATATATATTTAAAACAATAAAAAATTCTCACGACGTTTCTACCATAACTCAAACGGTCGTCTTCAGGTGTGTTGATTCGCATAAATTTATTTTTAAACGGCGCATTTCAACACATTACATAAAATCCGTGATCTGGTTCCGTCTGTAAAAGATGTGATCCGGACATACAATACCCTGGTGTCTACAAACTAAGTTGCCTCTGTGGTAGTAGTTACATTGGAGAAACCAAACGCCATGTCTCGGACCGCATTCGTGAACACAAAGCAGACCTTAAACACGGTAGGACCAACACCTCGGCCGTGGCAGATCATTGTTCTAATTCAGTAGGCTCACATGCCATTGACTTTTCCAAGACAGAGGTTCTTTGTAAGCCATCTGGCTTCCATGAGAGATTCGTTCATGAGGCTATCCACATATACAAGCACAGAGACAATTTCAACCGAGAAGATGGATTCTATCTTAGCAATCATTGGAAAGATTTGATAAACCATTTCAGGTCTTAATTGATTGTTCACGCTTACAGTGGCTTTCAGACACCATACATTATAAAAAATTTCGTCTCCCCCCTCCTCTTTTCAGAATATAGATGGACTAGTCCTGGGTAAACTGCCAAATCGTTGCGCGTGGCGCTAACGTTTTTTATAAATAAATAAATGCGCCGTTTAAAAATTAATTTATGCGAACCAACACACCTGAAGACGACCGTTTGAGTTATGGTCGAAACGTCGTGAGAATTGTTTATTGTTTTATATATATTTTATTATTTTGTTGTTTCTCTTCAACGTGACTTTACCGAAAAAACTAAGAATATGAGTTCATTCTACTTTACTCCTCCTACAAGGCAGCGGTGGAGGGAGCTGCTGCTGCTGCACGCCTAGTCCACGTCATTGTCAGAGAATGAGCTCCAGGACCCACGTGGTCTTAGCGATGCCCTCGGTCTACATTTACTGTGGCGAGGTTTCTTTTAGGTGGAACCTGAGGACTCTACCCTGGGTCTCGCGAGTTCTCACCCGAGAGGGGGAAAAAAAATAAAACTTGGTTTAACAAAAAGTTATCATGACTACGAATCGTGATAATCGAATCGCCGGGGATGGATGGGGGTCTTGTTGGCTCAGAGCCGTGCATCGCTCTCATTGGCTCAGAGCCGTCCGTCGCTCTCGTTGGCTCAGAGCCGTGCGTCGCTCTCATTGGCTCAGAGCCGTCCGTTGCTCTCATTGGCTCAGCCGTGCGTCGCTCTCATTGGCCGAGCGGATGGTGGGAGCGGCTACGCTTCCCTCGGCCGGCACTGCTGCGCGTGTTCCCGCTCGTAAAAGATGACTGTGGATTTTTTTGGTTTAATTAAAAAAAATTTGTAGAAAAACTAATATTCTCTAGGGACAGAGCACTCCAGTGAAATGGGTGTTCTATGGGCCCACGCTAAGCGAGGTCTGCCTGTATTGCTTCGCATAGTTTTTTTAAAATGATACGTACGCATTGCCACCGTGTCTGTTGTCGCACACTTTATGCACGCAAAAAAAACTCCCGTACTCTCTCAATATTCCCTCGACTGGCAATTCAATGGATGTACATAGTTAATAAAAAAAAGCGTCGCCTGTTATACGGTCCCACCCATGTATAAGTGTTGTTTGGGAGAACGCCAACAGTGAACGAAAAACGTGAAATTCGCACTCCCAAAGATGAGGGATTGAGCAGCATTGTATGTAATGCCAACTGCCCGTTATCTGCAACTCCACGATGAGTAGGAACATCAAGACGAGCTGGTGCAGTCCCAGTTTAACGCAGCGCGATAACTAACGTAGCGCGCACTGGATTGTGGGTTCCAGAATTGGCTCGTGATTTTTGGCAGTTTCAGTGGTGTGTGTGTGTGTTTTAACTTTATTTTAATTTTGTTTCTCCTTTTTCCAAAATAAAAAAAATTCAATACAAATAAGATTACAAATTGTAAAACGGGCTAAAATGTGGTTTTCGTGGCAACAACATCAACTTGTTAATTGATTGACCAGGGCACTCCACACCCCCCGAACAAGGAGACACTGTAAACATGACAGAGCCACTCGCAGCAGGCTCACCGCAGGAACACTTGTAACGGGCGTTGTAAAACTCATTGCGTCCGTTCTCCCTTTAGGTCTTCCAGAAACTTTCGGAGAGATACCCGCTCGCTTGGGGCACGACACGACGGGCAATACACCTCTGTAGACGAAACACACAACACACACACAGCGATTACATATCAGCCGTGAGTTGTATGGTTTGAGCAGAGGGAGCTTGTCAATCTAATCCTCCAACTTCTTGTCATGAGCCCTGGTGGAAGGTGATCAACAACAATGTGGGAAGTAAATAAAGAGTGTCCGGAGAAAACCCCACACACACAAAAGGGGAAAACACTCGAAGCCCTGCCATCTCTTGACCACCTGCCAAGATGCCCATAAGGTGTGCAGAGCATGCTCACGAAACAGATGCATTTAAATTTCAAAAATATTTGCATCATCTCACCTTCAATCGATCAATTCATCTTTATTTTACGTGCCAATATTGCCCTCGAAAAAAAGTAGGCATCAGTGGGCATGACAACACAGAACGGGAACGGTGCCAGGGGGCACGGAGCAACAGAGAATGAGAAAATAAACCCCGTCACGACCTCAGCGGCTAACACCAATTGAGCAAAGTAAATTGCAACCGTGCGTAACGAATAGCATAGGGAAGTTAAGTAGTAAATAAAGAATAAGTAAACAGTTTTTTTTCGGGAAGGCAAGTCTGAACAGACGTCTTGCGCAGGCCACGGAATTTGGGTTGTTAAGCCTTAAGACCACGTTACTCATCTAGTTGCAACAATCTTGATTTGAAGCTTTCGTGACTGCAGGAATCCGGTAAAGTCACGTAGGTAGAAAAAATAATAATAGATCACGACGTTTCGATCGCAGTCACAAGCAATCGTCATCAGGTGGGACAACCACAGCAAGAAAAAACTGCTGAAGTAAGCGAGAGATCTGCCGTGGCACGAGGTTATATAACTGCTGAAGTAAGCGAGAGATCTGCCGTGGCACGAGGTTATATAGTAGGCCTCGGCAGTAGGGGGGGGGGGGGGGTTGAGAGAAGTGGGGGAGGAAGGAGGCGGGGCAGAAAGTGGACCCCGCAGCAGCACCCGCGTCACTGGAGCAAAGTGTACCACTGCAGCAGCACTGGAGAGGTCGGCTGCAGGGGGGGGAGAGAGATGACATGAAGGTGCAGCCCTGCAATGACTTGCTCATGCTACTGCGGAGAAGGCCACCACTTTAAGGGAGTTCAACAGGTCATAATGCCCCGTTCAGAGGTTAAGGTGCACACTCTTCCACACTTGCCAGACGTCAACGAACGAGGTGGGAATACCCGCAGTTGATCCCACGAGACGTGACCTACCGCCAGACTGTAGGTGTACACATTTATAGTGCTGGGTTGGCAGAGTGCGGTTTTTTTTATAAACTGGCCCAAAAAGTTCGTTGTGAATTTAATATTGCCTACAAAAACTTACGAGTTAAGTAAAATTTACCCTAGATTTGAAGTTTTCGTGACTGCAAGGATCCATATTCTTTGGTTCTTTCGGTAAAGTCACGTAGGTGAAATTAGATAAAACAAAAATGAAAACAACGAAATTAAATCACGACGTTTCGGGCACAACACAAGCGCCCGTCATCAGGTGGGACACAACAGTTAGAAACCAACTGCTGAACTGGGCAAGAAATCGGCAGTGCAACGAGACGCTATATAAATAAGAGAGGGGTGGGAGGAGCCAAGGAGGAGATACAGAGTGTGGGGGGGGGGGTGGGTGGGGGTGCGAGGGGCAGGGCGTAGGAAGATCAAAGAGAGAAGGGAAGACACTAAACATGCTGAACATGCTGCACCCCCCACCCCCCCACTCTGTATCTCCTCCTTGGCTCCTCCCACCCCTCTCTTATTTATATCGCGTCTTGCTGCACTGCAGATTTCTTGCCCAGTTCAGCAGTTGGTTTCTAACTGTTGTGTCCCACCTGATGACGGGCGCTTGTGTTGTGCCCGAAACGTCGTGATTTAATTTAGTTGTTTTCATTTTTATTTTATTTTAGCTACGTGACTTTACCGAAAGAACCAAAGAATATAAAATTTACCCATTTTAACTGATCAGGCTGGGGGAATTAATCGAAGCCGCAACCTCTGGATTGCAAATTATTTGACCATCCTGCATTGGCAGCAGTGCACAAGCACCGAGAACAAAAAGAAAGCCAGCATTCATCAATAACACTGTGTCCTTGAAAGGAAAAATATATCATAGCAACGTTTTGGGCAATGGGCCATCCCCATAACACATTTGATGTGCTACGGTGATGGGCCCACTGCCAGAAATTTCGCCAATTATATATTTTCCTTTTAAGGAAGTGTCATCGTTTGTATGTATGTAAAACTTCTTTTTGCACCGTACGTAGCCAACCGTGCTCATCTGAGGTGCGACTGAATGCGTTGGGTTGACGAATGTGTTGAGTATTTCTGGTTGCGCGAGGTCAGTGTGCCAAACATTGGCATTGCGACAGCGTATGTTGTAACATAACCTGCATGTAAACGGGCAATCAAAACGCTCGTCGCCGAGTGTGGTACCTCAACAAAGAGTTTCAGCCTGCTGACTGATCCCATCTGCGCGGGACTTGACACCTTCTCGATTCTGAAAGATGGACCAAAACCAGACTTCGGTGAGGTTGTGTGCACATCCAAAGATAACTTCGATGCTTACAAGCCATACGCTCAATTCCATAACCTGTGACCACTGTTAATAGCGGCTCTTTTAGGTACTACATCTGCATCAGGGCTCAGCTGTTGGCAACTTAATAAATGAAATTGTCCAAGTCACTGCTACTGACAAAGAGTGGAGATCTGGACTTGTGGGCCAGAGTTTACAATTCCCATCGAACATATTATTACAGTGTGCAAGGCTCAAATCTTTAAATAATGAGAAAACCCGATCACAAGAGAATAGTGCAGGCTAGAAAACCCAAAGTTTCAAACAATATGCGAACGTGTAAAAAGCACGCAGCCACTGTGCATTATGCAACAAAAACAAACAGCATCTCCGAGATCACCATCAAAATAAATTTTAGCAAATATGATGGACTGACAGCAGCAGGTGATGATCTAAGACAAGAGGACGACAGTGCAGTTCTTCAGGAAATACTTGGTGGTTTAGCTACCTAGGCAAGTATTCTTCGATGATGAAAAATAGCAGCTTCCAGAACTGGCTGCAGTATGCACGCTCCATGGCGTTACCCGCCACCTGCTCACACACCCACCAGGAACACGGAAACAAGTTACATCACAGTCTCTATTTCTCTCAACTACATTGCAACTGATGGGGAGCGGGGGGAGCAGTGGTGCAGTGGTTAGCGCACTGAGTGATGAACGTGGAAACTGCCGATCCATTCCTTGCCATGGCAACCCTTCAGTGGCGAGTGCCCTTGCGGTGACAGAAGTGACTGAATGCCAGGGTGAAAACACTTCCCTCTAGTACCCAATTAATGCAGCTCAGATGCTTGCAGTGAATGGAGAAATACCGTTGTTGGGTCATTGCAAGGTGGTAGGCCACACGTGACCATGGGTTGTATGAAGTTTAGTGCCCTAGCCCACACACTGTAGGTTCCTCACCTGTTTCAATAGAATCCCTCTTTATAGAAAGGTACGTGACCACGGGTCAATGTGACATCAGGTTAATGTATTGAGACCAACAGCCGGAAGATTACCAGCAGGTGCGTACGTCCAAATGTGTCTCCACATGCTTACATTTGTGCAAGTATCCGTGCTCATGTGTGTTCAGGCTTATGTACACACGTGTGCACGCGCCTGTGTGTGTGTGCATGTTACGTGCACGCGTTCATGCGCGTGCGTCTGTCCCTTGCATGTGCTTGTGTGTTCTACACGTGTGCGCATGTGTCCACTTGCATTCCGTAATGTGGGCTACGCTTTGGTACTTGTGCACATGTGCGTGTCCCACACGCGTGCCCACATGCATGCATGCATGGATGTACGAGTATGTCCTGTAGATTTTGTGTGTAAATGACCATGAGTATACCTGCACGTGTGTGTGTGTGTGCACGTGTGTGTGTGCATGTGTGCATGCTTGTGCGTCTCACGCAGAATTAGTCAAGCGGCATTATCTTTTCATCAGCTGCGTAATGCTGTGTGGAAACTACCTATGAAGCTGTGGGTTTTCTAGCCACAGTCGTGCCCTCCCTTTTTGACGCTTGCGAAACATGAAGCCCTCTAAAGGGACATCTGTGCTGGTTTGAAACATTCAGGCTAGCCTGCCTACGATCCATTATGGGCTAAACCAGCCTGGACTGTGTCAGGCACTCTCACATCCTTGAAAAATCTCGACACAGTCCCATCAGTGAGCTCCTCCAGCAAACGAGGCTGCGTTGGCTGGGTCACGTAACACGCATGCCCAGCCACGGCATGCCCAAGTAGCTTGTTTGGCTGGATAGATGGGGCTAAACGGGGCACAGCATGGGCTACAGAAGAGATGGACTGATGCGGTACAGATTGATTTGGAGCTGATTGGACTCGCCGAAGACTGGTACCAGCAGTGTCAAGATCGGCCTCTGTGGAAGAGGTTTGACAGTCGCCCTACAGCAACAATTGAGAGCAGAAGAGTGACGTGTGCACAACAACGAGCAGAGTGTCGGGCGGCTCAAACGCAGAAAGTTGACAGCGGAGAGCACAGGTGGTGCATCTGCAAGTCATCTTAGTCTGTCAACCCACGGCACATGGGTCTGTTTCCGTGACCTCCTGCCAGCGGGCCTTCGACACTTCACGTGGCGTGCACCGAGCATTACAAGCACTGTGGTGACATCACCGCCACTTAGTGAACGGTGGTTGTTCTTGTTGTACTTCTGTGCTGTGAACCTGACCACCCGAGTTCAATTCCCGCTCATAACCAATAACAGTGGAGAATATATAAAGCAGTCCTGGGTCTCCCCGAAGTCGACTCAGCCCTTGAATGAGTAACTGGTTGTGGTGTGTATATATCAGCACTGGGGAGACAAAGGTGGTTGGGCGTGGTGTTGAACACGCAGCCCCTCGTGTGCCGTGCCTTCACAAGCGCTTGCTAACAGCAATTGCCTGAACAGTCTGTACTTGTGCATACCTCGAGGAAGTCATAGAGCATGGTGGCAGAGATGTCGGACACCGGCTCCAAGTTCAGCATTTGTGCAATCCACCGCCAGCCGTACTGCAAGCCATGGGGGTGGCTCTGTTACACGCACGCACACATGAACAGCACACACGGAGCACGCAGTACGTAAGAGTAGGCAATGTTGACGCTCTCACGGTCCCTATCTCCCCCTCCCCCTTCCCCATTAGCATTTATTCCTATGGGGGGAAAATCCCCATTACACATCGCTTCGTTATAAGTCGAAACTTTCCAGTCCCTAATCCCGACGTATGAATGTGCCTAGAGTAGAAAGCATTCAACAAGATCAGTAAGATGTGGGGATGCAGATCTTCTCTGCATTCCCAGGTCGAGGCTTCAGTTTATTGGTGACCGAGATTTTTCCTGTTTTGCCCCCAGGTTATGGAAAGCTCTTCCACGAGATAGGAGGGATCTCTGAGGGAACATTTTTAAAATGCGTCTTAAAACCGACTTAAACACTTCCGCTCATTCAACTTTTCGTTCGATTAGTAAATTAATTTTTTAGTGTATTCATAATATCATTATATTTATACTGAGTGTCTGCTGCATCTGTGTCCTGTACAGCGCTTTGAGATCCTTGACGAAACTCGCATTAGAAATGGCATTATTATTATAATTAACCTGGCGCAACCTTACCTTGTTCATGCTGGGAGAGGGTACGGGCGTGGCGATGATGGCTGCATAGAGGCGCATCATGCCTGACATGCGGTTGAGGAAGAGGTCCTGTTTCTCGAGCGTCTTGCCATCGTAACAGTAGCCAAGGCTCCTGCGGGTAATAGGGATAGGATAGGGGCATCAGTCAAGCAAGCATATTGGCACAAGGCCCAGCTGTCCTGGGTTCGAATCCGAGTTTCAGGTGGCTGTTATTAAACCGCATTCTCAAGTGTGCCGAGTTGACGAGCTCAGTCCACTCACAAATGACTGCAGAAAAAAATTGTAATATGACATTGGATCATTCCTTCTCTGAGAATTAAAACAATTTGTCTGATTGTCACCAATCGCCCCTCACCCATCACTGTTACTAGGCTGCCACTCAATGTGCAGATGGAAAACAAGTTTCAGTCATCTGGGATCACAACCTCTGATTTTGTTACTTCTAATGCAAAAGTCAAATGTTGAAAATATAATTCTACTCTATACTCTTTGGTTCTTTCGGTAAAGTCACATAGTTAGAAATAAAATAAAACAAATCACGACGTTTCGATCGCAACACAAGCGACCTTCATCAGGTGGCACCGATACAGCAGGACAACCACCGACATAGGAGAAAGAGCTGCTGAGAACAAGAGTTTATAAAGGGTTGTGGTGGGCCCAACCCAAGGGTAAGTGGGCGGAGCTAGAGAAGGAGGAAAGGGGGCAAGGGGGGGAGGGTGAGAGGGGGGTGGGCGCAGGTGATCTGTGGCAGGCAGAGAGACGCAGTGCCTGTGGAAGGCAGAGACACACTGTGCCTGTGGAAGGGAGAGAGACGCTGTGCCTGTAGCAGGGAGAGAGATGCTGTGCCTGTGGAAGGGAGAGAGACGCTATGCCTGTGGAAGGCAGAGAGACGCTGTGCCTGTGGAAGGCAGAGAGATGCTGTGCCTGTGGAAGACAGAGAGACGCTGTGCCTGTGGAAGGCAGAGAGACGCTGTGCCTGTGGAAGGCAGAGAGACGCTGTGCCTGTGGAAGACAGAGAGACGCTGTGCCTGTGGAAGGCAGAGAGACGCTGTGCCTGTGGAAGACAGAGAGACGCTGTGCCTGTGGAAGGCAGAGAGACGCTGTGCCTGTGGAAGGCAGAGAGACGCTGTGCCTGTGGAAGACAGAGAGACGCTGTGCCTGTGGAAGACAGAGAGACACTGTGCCTGTGGAAGGGAGAGAGACGCTGTGCCTGTGGAAGGCAGAGAGACGCTGTGCCTGTGGAAGGCAGATATGCTGTGCCTGTGGAAGGGAGAGAGACGCTGTGCCTGTGGAAGGGAGAGAGACGCTGTGCCTGTGGAAGGCAGAGAGACGCTGTGCCTTAGGAGAGAGGCTGTGCCTGTGGAAGGCAGAGAGACGCTGTGCCTGTGGAAGACAGAGAGACGCTGTGCCTGTGGAAGGGAGAGAGACGCTGTGCCTGTGGAAGGCAGAGAGACGCTGTGCCTGTGGAAGGCAGAGAGACGCTGTGCCTGTGGAAGGCAGAGAGATGCTGTGCCTGTGGAAGACAGAGAGACGCTGTGCCTGTGGAAGGCAGAGAGACGCTGTGCCTGTGGAAGACAGAGACGCTGTGCCTGTAGTAGGGAGAGAGACGCAGTGCCTGTGGAAGGCAGAGAGACGCTGTGCCTGTGGCAGGCAGAGAGACGCAGTGCCTGTGGAAGGCAGAGACACGCTGTGCCTGTGGAAGGGAGAGAGATGCTGTGCCTGTGGAAGGCAGAGAGACGCTGTGCCTGTGGAAGGCAGAGAGACGCTGTCCCTGTGGAAGGCAGAGAGACGCTGTGCCTGTGGAAGGGAGAGAGACGCTGTGCCTGTAGCAGGGAGAGAGACGCTGTGCCTGTGGAAGGGAGAGAGACGCTGTGCCTGTGGAAGGCAGAGAGATGCTGTGCCTGTGGAAGGGAGAGAGACGCTGTGCCTGTGGAAGGCAGAGAGACGCTGTGCCTGTGGAAGGCAAAGAGACGCTGTGCCTGTGGAAGGCAGAGAGACGCTGTGCCTGTGGAAGGCAGAGAGACGCTGTGCCTGTGGAAGGGAGAGATAAGCTGTGCCTGTGGAAGGCAGAGAGACGGTGTGCCTGTGGAAGGGAGAGAGACGCTGTGCCTGTGGAAGGGAGAGAGAAGCTGTGCCTGTGGAAGACAGGAGACACGCTGTGCCTGTGGAAGGCAGAGAGACGCTGTGCCTGTGGAAGACAGAGAGACGCTGTGCCTGTGGAAGGCAGAGAGACGCTGTGCCTGTAGAAGGCAGAGAGATGCTGTGCCTGTGGAAGGCAGAGAGACGCTGTGCCTGTAGCAGGGAGACGCTGTGCCTGTGGAAGGCAGAGAGACGCTGTGCCTGTGGAAGGGAGAGAGATGCTGTGCCTGTGGAAGGCAGAGAGACGCTGTGCCTGTGGAAGGCAGAGAGACGCTGTGCCTGTGGAAGGCAGAGAGACGCTGTGCCTGTGGAAGGCAGAGAGACGCTGTGCCTGTGGAAGGGAGAGATCAGCTGTGCCTATGGGGCCAATGTGAGAAATTAGCATGTAAATGTAAATTAGCATGTAAACAGGATGAGGATGGGGAAGGTCGTCCTGTTAATGTGGGAAAGTACAAAACGGCAGGCAGGATGGAAGTATTACAGCGAATTTCGACCAACCTGGTTAATAGCTCTGCCCACTTACCCTTGGGTTGGGCCCACCACAACCCTTTATAAACTCTTGTTGTCAGCAGCTCTTTCTCCTATGTCGGCGGTTGTCCTGCTGTATCGGTGCCACCTGATGAAGGTCGCTTGTGTTGCGATCGAAACGTCGTGATTTGTTTTATTTTATTTCTACCTACGTGACTTTACTGAAAGAACCAAAGAGTATGGATTCCTGCAGTCACGAAAGCCTCAAATCAAGATTAATCTACTCTGTTAATATTTACAGGTCACTCAGCATCCCACTTTACTTATCTCTATCTGTGCCTCCACTACGACGACTTTATGTATTGCCTGAAATGCACGTTTAAAAGTGTTGCGTAACCAGTAAATATCGATAGATTGCCTTTGACTCCATAGCACCGCAGTTCAACAGGCGAATGAATGAAACCAGGAGATGTAACCTTGATAATAACAAAACTTGAATTTCGAGTGACACCCTAACCGATCACCAAACACTGCTCTCTCGCGCGCCCATCATCCCCCATGGACCAGGCTTCACCATTACCTGAAAAAGTCCTCTTGGTTCTGCCCTGGTGTGGGAAGGTTGAAGACGGGCACGGTGTAAGGGCACTTGCGGTGCATGTGAGCTAGGAGGAGCTCCCCGAGGGCCGGGTGGCGGTCCCACAGGCTTATGGCGACGGCCGCGATGGGGAACGCCGCCTTGTGCTGCGACGCCACCTCCTCCTCTCCTTGTTTCTGCAGAGGCACGGAGGAACAGCGGGCAAACAGACGCACGGCATTGAGCTATCCGCTGCTGGACGAACTGCCATACAAAGCCGAGGGGCAGATTTTCGTGGACGATGACAAAGTGGATGAATGGGCACGTGGGGTGTGTTTGAATGGTGAACAAAATGCGAGTTTCCCATCGATTTTGTTTAATCAGGTGAGGACTCAACAGACCAAGAGTCATATTAGTCTGCACCCTGGTCTACAAATCCCTTCATGGTCTTGCCCCACCGTATTTTGCCACTCTTGTATCTTTCTACGTGTCGCCTTGTCACCCTCTACAGTGAGGGAAAAAAGTATTTGATCCCCTGCTGATTTTGTACGTTTGCCCACTGACAAAGAAATGATCAGTCTATAATTTTAATGGGAGGTTTATTTGAATAGTGAGAGACAGAATAACAACAAAAATCCAGAAAAACGCATGTCAAAAATGTTATAAATTGATTTGCATTTTAATGAGGGAAATAAGTATTTGACCCCCTCTCAATCAGAAAGATTTCTGGCTCCCAGGTGCCTTTTATACAGGTAACGAGCTGAGATTAGGAGCACACTCTTAAAGGGAGTGCTCCAATTCTCAGCTTGTTACCTGTATAAAAGACACCTGTCCACAGGAGCAATCAATCAATCTGATTCCAAACTCATGGCCAAGACCAAAGAGCTCTCAAAGGATGTCAGGGACAAGATTGTAGACCTACACAAGGCTGGAATGGGCTACAAGATCATTGCCAAGCAGCTTGGTGAGAAGGTGACAACAGTTGGTGCAATTATTCCCAAATGGAAGAAACACAAAAGAACTGTCAATCTCCCTCGGCCTGGGGCTCCATGCAAGATCTCACCTCGTGGAGTTGCAATGATCATGGGAACGGTGAGGAATCAGCCCAGAACTACACGGGAGGATCTTGTCAATGATCTCAAGGCAGCTGGGACCATAGTCACCAAGAAAACAATTGGTAACACACTACGCCGTGAAGGACTGAAATCCTGCAGCGCCCGCAAGGTCCCCCTGCTCAAGAAAGTACATATACATGCCCGTCTGAAGTTTGCCAATAAACATCTGAATGATTCAGAGGACAACTGGGTGAAAGTGTTGTGGTCAGATGAGACCAAATTGGAGCTCTTTGGCATCAACTCAACTCGCCGTGTTTGGAGGAGGAGGAATGCTGCCTATGACCCCAAGAACACCATCCCCACCGTCAAACATGGAGGTGAAAACATTATGATTTGGGGGTGTTTTTCTGCTAACGGGGCAGGGCACCTTCACCGCATCAAAGGGACGATGGACGGGGCCATGTACCATCAAATCTTGGGTGAGAACCTCCTTCCCTCAGCCAGGGCATTGAAAATGGGTCGTGGATGGGTATTCCAGCATGACAATGACCCAAAACACACGGCCAAGGCAACAAAGGAGTGGCTCAAGAAGAAGCACATGAAGGTCCTGGAGTGGCCTAGCCAGTCTCCAGACCTTAATCCCATAGAAAATCTGTGGAGGGAGCTGAAGGTTCGAGTTGCCAAACGTCAGCCTCGAAACCTTAATGACTTGGAGGAGTGGGACAAAATCCCTCCTGAGATGTGTGCAAACCTGGTGGCCAACTACAAGAAACGTCTGACCTCTGTGATTGCCAACAAGGGTTTTGCCAACAAGTACTAAGTCATGTTTTGCAGAGGGGTCAAATACTTATTCCCCTCATTAAAATGCAAATCAATTCATAACATTTTTGACATGCGTTTTTCTGGATTTTGTTGTTGTTATTCTGTCTCTCACTGTTCAAATAAACCTACCATTAAAATTATAGACTGATCATTTCTTTGTCAGTGGGCAAACGTACACAATCAGCAGGGGATCAAATACTTTTTTTCCCTCACTGTATGTTCTCAATCTTTGCCGTCTCTCTCTGTTCCTCCTTCTCCTCCTCGCGCTAAATCCACGCTTTCACTCTTTATCTCTTCTCACCGCCCTTCACTGCAACAAACTTCCCCTCCACATTAAGCGGTCACCTTCACTCGCTAGTTTCCGCTCCTCACTCAAACCTCACTTATTTTCCCTAACTCACCCCACGACCCCTTAATCTCCCCCTCATAACCACACCACCGTCACTGTTCCCTCTTCATATTCCCATGCTATGGCTATCACTCATTCCCCATTCATTCGATACATTCGTAGTCTTTGATTGTCTTCGATTTCACATTTCACCTAATTCACGCATCATCACAGATTCGCCCCCATTACTTCCTCTCATCCATTTATTCACCCTATCTCCACCATTACATTCACACATTGTTGTTGTACCATTGTCAATTCTTCGTGAAGCGTCTTGGTTAAGGCTCTACATAAATTTCGTTAAGATAACATAGTCCCAATAAAGGAAATTGCAGGTAATTTACGAATTTGGCAAATATGGACCCCGACGCTCGGCCGTGTGGCATTTCGACTTACCACCAGCTTCTCGCCGAGTTTGTATTGAGCGTAGAGAAGGCCCTGCGGGTGGCGAGAGACGCTGATGGAGCGGTTGCCCACTTCGATCGTCTGACTGCTCAGCAGCGAGTTCAGCTTCCCCGTAATATCGTACAGGTGAGAGCCTGGTCATGGAATAAGCACAACACGCGGTACACAAAAAGGGACAACCCCAATATGTACAGGGAGACAGAAGAAATGGGACACGGGGGACACACAAGGACACACAGGGTCATTCACACGTGCACAAAAAAATACGCGAGAAGACGCAGAAATAAACAGAGACGAGTGATGACTAAGTGGGCGGCGTGGTTAGCAGTGGGTAATGTGAACAAAGTGGGAGAATAGATGGAGCGGAATCAATGCGTTTGACAAGAGTGCTCTATGTATTTGTACTTCTCCTTTGCCAGACCACTGGTGGATGAAGGCCTGCCCACGATCTGCCTCCCCACGTGGGGGTTATCTGACCACACTTTACTGTACTGTTCAGTGCGGGTCGGTGACAGCGGCGAGTGCAGACATTGGAGCACAATAATGATTTGTTTCTGCACTGCTTCCAATTCTGCACTGGTCCCTTCTGACAACACAGCAGCAGCCTATATAACATCTGTTTTATGTATGGCAGTCACCTGCCCAAATGCTATCCCAGCTCAAACCCACTTGGCTTTCACAATCAGATGAGATCAGGCGCATTCCACGTGACATGGTTACAGCCACTGCTAAAATACTGCACTCATAATGCAATGACTATGCTATATAATCCACGTGATTGTGTGTCAACCTGAGGGGTCATGGGTCAGACTTGAGGTGATGGTCCTCACCTGATGTGGAGCAGATTTGTGACACTGGTGTCGACACTGCCTTGGCAAGTTCAAACTTAATGGCCTTGATCTGCACACCGCACACACAGACAACGATCCCCCATGTAGCCTTATCGACTGTTGAAGCAAGTGCTGTTAGCGAGCATCTATTCGTGCCACATGTGACGTTGCCGTGGCCAGCACCACGCAAGGACCACTTTTATTTCCCCAGTGCTGATGTTTACACGCAGCACCAGGTGGTCATGTTAAGACCGACCAATGTTAGCCGCGGCCGATTATCTAACCCAGGTTTTTAGGTTCATAGGGCCATCCTCCAACAGGGGGGATCGCACTTCTCTGCGACACATCCAAATGGACGACTTTTCATCTCGTGACACGATGACGACAGCACAAGCGGGAAAATATTCGTGGGAAAATATTTTGTTTAAATGCAGAAAAAAAAGAAAGCAATGCCCAGTCGCCCCGCCCCAAGCCCCAACTCCCCTCTGGATAGGGGCTATGTGGTCGGACCTCATAAGCGATCCATCCCTTCAGAAGCCTGGCTTCGACCTCCCGAGGCGCAAATGGGTGCAGTGAAACTGCTTCGGTGTGACCGGGGAGTGTGTTGCTGCTTCTTAAAATTGATGGCGGCCTACGTGACAGCCCACTGTGTGAATGCGGGGAGCAAGGGAGACCAGGGTGTTCATCGTCTTCGGCTGTAAAGTGCGTCAAGGCGTGCCGGGCGAAACCTGTTGCCCTGCACGTGCTGGAGGAGGAGGCTGCGAGGTGGTGGTCTGTGGCTATGTGGTGGCTGATGTCCGATCAAATAGCATTTATTTATCTATCTATATGCGTGTTTGCAATTGTATCGAGTGTTTTGACTGTGGAAAGTCGCGTGCAATAGCATTCACTAAACAAATACAACGGCGGTACGAACTCCCAACCACCTTTGTATCACTGGCACAGGGGTAATGGTCCGCACCTTGGGGTCTTTGCTGCTGTTGAGGCCGTCCATGTTCTTCATGGTCTCATCCAGTTTGACCTGCAGCTCCTTGGACCAGCTCAGGATGCTGCTATCCGTTCGCTGCAAGCCCACTGTACGCGACGACCACGACGTAAAACAAGGCGTGAGCAGCGGGAAGCAACGTGCAGCTGTGCTCACCAGCAGTGATACACAACCGGTAATAACCAGGGCCTGATGCACAACCTGTCGAGGTACCAAGAGTCCATTATAACCAGGGATGAAGCCTGCTTGTTATAGCTGGGGCCAAGACACAGTCTATTTTAACCAGGAACCGGAATGCATCCATAAAATATCCAGGGACTGACACCCAACCTGTTACAATCAGGAACCAATATACAGTCCTATACAGCCTTGAGTGTGAAGATCCAGGGAACGATATAGTCCTTGTTCAGGTGGCTGCCATCAAATCAGATCGATCTGCATCATTTTTCTCATCAGAGGGCCCAAAAGGCCACCTCAAGTTCACTTCACTCTTAGCGAAGCCTACGAAACCGCTTCTATCACCACACAAGCAGGTGGCGGTGTGGGGGAAGATGTCTGACCTTGATTCGTATTTCGGGTCTCCTCCTCCTCCTTTTGCTGCCGTTTCTGCTGCTCGGCTTGCTCCTGCTGCTGCTGCTGCTGGTGCTGCTGCTGCTGGAGCTCGCGTGCCAGGCGCTGTGCGTCCCCCTTCTCCGCCTCCAAGCGCCGTTCCTCCTGGAGCCTCAACGCCTCCACCTGCACGGCCAGGAGCCTCATCTCCGCCAAGACTTGCTCAGCATGCGCGAGGTCCTGCGGGCTTGGGCCGAAGCCACCGCTCTGCAGACAGTGCGCCCCGCAACACGACGATGACGACGCAATTCATAAGGGTATGTTGTCTTATTCTTAGCTCTTTCGGTAAAGTCATGTTGAAGGGAAACAATAAAATATATATTTATATTTTATATATATTTTATATGTAATATATTATATATTTTATTATTTTATTGTTTCCCTTCAACGTGACTTTACCGAAAGAGCTAAGAATATGAATTACTGCAGTCACGAAAGCTTTAAATCGGTATGTTGTCCGTTACGGCAGTTCCTATATTTGCTGATTAAAGCACCACTGTTAAAATATATATAAATAAAACCATATAATCTGACAAAGAACCAGCAAATGTTCTATTTAAGAATGTGTTATGATAAGCAATATAATGAAGAGGTGGCCCAAATAAAATCCTACATATATATTTTTTACCAGGTAAGGCCCACTGAGCTATATAGCTTTTTTTCAGAATCGACCTGGTCACAAATGATAGCTCAGCGTAGTGGCTCATCATCATTGCGTGAAAATGTATAGCAGCCAAATAATCTATACGCACATTGATTCTAAATGTGGAGGGAAAAACCGGAGCACCCGGATAAAAATAAAACTACAGAGAGACATGCAAACTCCAAATATACAGCAGCAGGCGTCAGAGTCGGGATCGAACCCACGAACTCCTGTGAACCAAGCGAGGTAGCTACAATCTCGCTACTCCACCACTGATCACCCCAAAACCAGCAAGCTCTTAAACAACCTCTGGTATGTTTCATCTAATTATTTGTAATCGTTAGTAAAATTGAACGTCTAATTATTTGTAATTATTAGTAAAAAAATGAATGTCAACTTACGATCATAATTTTTTGTACACTTCATGACATACCAGGCGAGGTATTCAACATCTCGCCAGATACACAAGTATCTACCAGTGAAACAGATTAATCCATCCCGTTGATTGCATGAACGAGCACGTGGCGAAGCCTCACATCCGAGCTGTTCCTGATGGCGGTGGCGACGGTGTCGCACAGCTGCCCGGCGCGCATGCGCAGCTCGGCCAGTTGCGCCAGTGCCCCCGACTGAGCGCCAGCCGCGGTGGCGGCGGTGCCGGGCTGCGGCGGAGACGGCTGGGCCCGTCGGTTCAGCGCCAGCATCTCCTCCTGCAGCGCGTTGAGACGGCGCGCGCGCTCGTGACCCTCTGCCAGCCGGCGACGCTCCTCCTCTTCCTCGCGCCGGTGCTGCTCGGCCGCCTCGTGCAAGCGAATGTTCAGCACCTATGGAGACCGGCGGCGGGAACCGGTGGGGACACAGGAAGAGTGGTGGTCTCGTGCGTATGGATAGATCGAGGGGTCAGCATCTTGCGGCCCCGGAGTCGTGCGCGGATCTTTAAGGACCGCTCGGTGACGTTATTTATACAGGACCACCATCTCATAGGTTCTACACGTGCATTGCGGCTCTTCAAATGAAGTATTTTTTGTTATCGAATTCGAAAAAAAATGACTCTTCTTGGCATTTTGGTTGTCGACCCCTGGGTAAGGTGAAAAGCCAGTGGTGCAACACGAGTGCACGGCGGTTTTGAGGGTGGTTGGCCGAGGGCAATCCGGATTTGAGTCGAGGATCTCAGCAGTGCCAGCTCAGTGTCCTTGAACCGGTATTAGGCCTCTGATGCAGCTGGCCATCTCCTCGCTTGGGCCATGGTTTTGTTTTTGTATAATTTCGTTTGTTTTGGTTGTTTGTTGTAACTTTCTGACCCAACTTTACTGGACATTTGCGAAAAAGAGCTTCACAGCTCATCGGATTACTCCAGGATAAATAAAGTTTCTGATTTTGATGCTCTCCAGCAGCAATATTTTTACCTTTGTTCGGTCTTGATGCTCCTCCATAATTTTTTCCAGCTTCTTCTGAGCCTCTACCAAGCTAAACAAAAACAAACACAGCAACCAGTTAAATCTTCTTTCTTCTATTTGTACGGCCTAAAATAGAGAGCGCCTATTAGATATTAAATTGTAAATTATTTAGTCATACAATCACTTCGTCTGAAAGTTGTTGAATTTCCTATACACCCACCCGACGCCTTTCAACTTATATCTGGGGTAGTGCAAAGCTAAGAAGTCCATGGTTTGGAGTTCATAGCCGCAGCGGCTTTTATTTTCCACTTGCGCACGTGGTATCCACAACAATCCATTCATCTTCATTGACTGTCATAAATTTTGCTTTCACCGAATTTCCACTTCACAGATTCGCCCCGATTGCTTACTGTCATCTATCTCATTCACCTCATCTCCACCATTACATTCACACGTTGTAACATTGTTAACTCTTTGTAAAGCGCCTCGGTTAAATCGCCATATAAATTCCGTTCAGATAAATTAAATGAAGTCGTTAGCAATTATATTCGTATGCACAAACCTACAATAACTGGCTGCAGCCCCGAATCAGCACCTATCATGTCCACCGGTCGTCCCAACCCCCGACAAACTTAAAACGTCCGCAGCACTGCCTCGCCCACGGCTTGCTAGTTCCCCTACCCATGTCCAGTCACCTCTTATCCAGCTCGTCCTTGCGTCGCTCCTGCTCCAGCCGCTGCTCGAGCTCCAGCTCCTCCTCGTAGCGCTTGAATTGCTGGGTGGCCTGGTGCTGCATGGCACATTCCGCTGCCTCCAGACGCTTGCACCGCTGGTGCAGCAGGACCTGTTGGAAGGGGTACCAGAAACCAGTTCACAACAACGGGGACGATTCGGAAATTAGGTTGAATAATCGATCGCAAATTGATGGGTAATGAGTTTGAACGTTTATCTAAAATAAACAAAAAAATATTTTACCAGGTAAGTCCCACTGTCGTCATCCGCACTGATGCCGACACCGATGCCAATTATATCAATAAAGCAGCAATGAATCAACCAAAATAACAAATGAACACCTATGGCCAAATCTAAACTATTATTAAACTGAACAATTTTAGTAAATTTTACCAGGCAAGGCCCAGAGCTATATAGCTCTTTTTTCAGAAGCGACCTGTCCACAAATGATAGTTCAACGAAGTGGCTTAACACGTGTAAATTTATATTAGTAGCCAAATACTCTAAACGCATGTTTCTAATTGTGGAGGGAAAAACCGGAGGACCCAAAGAAAAATCTACACGACCATGGGCAGAGAGACACGCAAATGCTAAATATACAGGCGTCAGGGTTGGGATCGAACCTGTGACCTCCTGCATACCACCGCGGCATCTCACACCCCAGTATGAGGTGTGAAGGATGTAGCTCAGTGATTTATGCTGCATTTAATTTTGGTGATGCTGCGTTGGCAGTTGTGCACAAGCATAAATAATAAAAATTAAACAATCAATAACTCTGTGGCCCTAAAATGTAAAAAAATATATATAATAGACAATTTGCATGGCTAGACAAAGAGATGGGAGTGACACATGGGCCAACAGACACGGGTGGAGTTGTCTGAAACTTCAACAGAGCACTGATCATCGAGGCATTGGTAGAAGAGGCAAAAAGCGTTGCAACAGAGCAGTGATGAGACAGAATGGAGGAAGTCGACAAGTGGGATTGTTACGAAGTTAACATCTTTTTATTGGATTCAACCGATATGTTTTAGTGCACGGCTTCCCGGCTGCCAGTGTCGGCTGCCTGTGAGCAAAACATTACTGTCATAAGTCAAAGCATGTGGAAAAATTTGCCCTTTGGTGTCTAGACCAGGTAACTTGAAGGAATCTCAGAGTTAAGTCTGTCATATCTACTATCATGGGCCATATTCGAATACGAAGCGGTGTCTAACGGCTTCCAGGAACAATATAACGTGAGATGGGAGAAGAGAGGTAGGCAGGGGGCAAGTCCATGATGGCGAGTTGTCTTGAAACTGATCCGGGACTATATTTGGAGCCAGTGGAGAGACAGGTAGTACAGGTGTGAATTAGTCTAATTTATGGATGTGAGCTGCTGAGATTCTCTCTCTCACGACGGCTGTGGACCACACTGAACCGCGCTCGGACGCAGAACGGGAAATGTGCGGTGTTCCATAAATGGAAAATCAAAGAATCACCAATCTGGGACTGTGGTAAAGCCCAAACCGTCAAACACATCACCGACGAGTGAGCCGTCCACGCACACCCTGGCGGTACCGCTGCAATCCGTACAGCGTCTACTGCCGCCTTGAATTGGTTGAAGCACCTTAAAATTCAACTGTGACATCTACACAAACTGTTGCTTACATGCCATACGAAAGAAGAAGATTGATGCGAGTGGGCAGTCATTGACAAATTAAATATGAACGTGGCAAAGCAGCGTACAACCATGCTGATGAGCATTCACGCACTTTTGTCCTCATCTTGTACATCTCCTCCTGGCTCCGGATCTGTGCTTCAATCTCGGCTGGGTCCTCCGGCATGGAAACCACGAAGATGGTTTCATCGCAGCGGCGAATACAGCTCCCGCCACTTCTGTTGCCTATGATGAGGTCCTGTGGCACAGGAGAGAAGTGTGCGCACACAAACGCATGACCATCATTAACATTCTCACCAGCCTGGTTCAATGGAGGCAGAGGCGTCCAGTGCCCGTGAGTTTTTTTCAGAAGGGTATAGTGACTCATCGCAGCACATGTAGGAGCCGTTTACAAATTACTCCATACACCAATACCCTTTGCACTTTTGTTAGGTTTAAGAATTCCAAAAAACAAGAAAAATAAATACATACTCTTACAATCTGAGTGGCTTGGCTCTCCAACACACCGGTGTGCTGTACTAGTGACTAATTGGCATGTTCTGTCTACGTGACAACCCTTAATAGTTGGCTGCGTTGGGTGGTGGCGGGTTTTAACGACACATTTATATATTTACGCGATCTAACCCAACAAAAAACTCTATTATGGATGACATTGGTCGCGAAAGCCTACGTGTTAAACCAAATTTTAATTTTCACGATTTTATATTTGCATATCAGTTTAAGTTTCGTGCTTTTTTCCATCGACTATTCGAGATTTGGCAACATCGCATCATGGGGGAGTACTTGCGCATCACAGCGGTCTACTGTAGCCCCCAGCATGTGCACCAAATCCAGTTGTGCCAAGATCTGAACGCCTTATTTATGTTTTTTTAATATTTTGATAATGGGGTCTAAAGCATCGAGTGAGTGGAGAAAGTGAGGGCAAGACTGAAAGGCTGAAAAAAAATGATGAGCTAGCTCAAAAAGTAGTCGTTCGATAGACTTGCTCTCCAACAAAACCATCCCCAACATACTCCCATCATAATCGAAGGTAAATAAAAATTTGAATTAGTCTCATTTATGGATGTGAGCTGCTGAGAGTCTCTCTCTCTCTCACGACGGCTGTGGACCACACTGAACCGCGCTCGGACGCAGCACGGGAGATGTGCGGCGTACACGTTGTTCCATAAATGGAAAATCAAAGAATCACCAATCTGCGACTGTGGTAAAGCCCAAACCGTCAAACACATCACCGACGAGCGAGCCGTCCACGCACACCCTGGCGGTACCGCTGCAATCCGTACAGCGTCTACTGCCGCCTTGAATTGGTTGAAGCACCTTAAAATTCAACTGTGACATCTACACAAACTGTTGCTTACGTGCCATACGAAAGAAGAAGATTGATGCGAGTGGGCAGTCATTGACAAATTAAATATGAACGTGGCAAAGCAGCATATAACCATGCTGATAATCATTCACGCACCTTTGTCCTCATCTTGTACATCTCCTCCTGGCTCCGGATCTGTGCTTCAATCTCGGCTGGGTCCTCCGGCATGGAAACCACGAAGATGGTTTCATCGCTGCGGCGGATACAGCTCCCGCCACTTCTGTTGCCTATGATGAGGTCCTGTGGCACAGGAGAGAAGTGTGCGCACACAAACGCATGACCATCATAAACATTCTCACCAGCCTGGTTCAATGGATGCAGAGGCGTCGAGTGCCCGTGAGTTTTTTTTGACTCATCGCAGCACATGTAGGAGCCGTTTACAAATTACTCCATACACCAATACCCTTTGCACTTTTGTTTTAAGAATTAAAAAAAAAAATCAAATACATTAAATACAGACGCTTCTTGTGCATGCTTAGAATTAAGTGCTGGTCAGCTAATTTACTGTCTTTGAATTTTTTTTATTCGATTACAGTAAACCCTCCTCATTCACAGACAATAATTTAGCAAAATTTGATTCCATAATAGAGGTTTAGATCGTGTAAATATGTGTCGTTAAAACCCGCCACCACCGGACACAGCCAACTAGTAAGGGTTGTCATGAAAACAGCACACCGGTGTGTTGGAGAGCCAAGCCATGTGACAACCCTTACTAGTTGGCTGTCAGATGGTGGTGGGTTTTAACGACACATTTATATATTTACGCGCTCTAACCCAAAAAACCTCTATTATGGATGACATTGGTCGCGAAAGCCTACGTGTTAAACTAAAATTTGATTATTCACGATTTTATATTTGCAAATCAGTTTAAGTTTCATGCCTTTTTCCTTCGACTATTCGAGATTTGGCAAAATCGCATCATGGGGGAGTACTTGCGCATCACAGCGGTCTACTGTAGCCCCCAGCATGTGCACGAAATCCAGGTGTGCCAAGATCTGAACGCTGAAACTTTTACTGTTCAAGTGCCATTCCTTTTGTGATATTTTTGCCTTATTTGTGTTTTTTATATTTTGATAATGGGGTCTAAAAGCATCGAGTGAGTGGAGAAAGTGAGGGCAAGACTGAAAGGCAGAAAAAAATGATGAGCTAGCTCAAAAAGTAGTTGTTCGATAGACTTTCTCTCCAACAATACCATCCCCAACATACCCCCATCATAATCGAAGGTAAATACAACTTCAAAATGTATAGCATGATGCCTTGATGCGTTTTATTTTATTAATTAGATTTTAAAATCTTGACTTAAAGCTTTCGTGACTGCAGGAATTCATATTCTTTGGGTCTTTCGGTAAAGTCATGACGAGGATAGCTTGTGTTGTGATCGAAACGTCGTAGTTTTTTTGTATTTTCTTTGAACCATCTACGTGACTTTACCGAAAGTCCCAAAGAATATAATTATATTGTTGTATTTGAATGTGTTATTATCCATGTATACTATTGTATTAAGTATATGTATGTCATTAGTTAAGTGTACAGTACAGGATTAATGTTATGATACATTTTCATTTTCTCCCGTATATTCAGCCGGACACGGGAAGCATATAAACATAGTACAGTATCTACATTCACGAATTCTACTTTGGCGCAGATTTTCAAGAACAGAACCCTCACGAATGTCGAAGCCTTACCGTACCACAACATTCAGTTGAGATACAGTCGTATTTTAGTTATATCAGAGGTGGGGAATCTATTCCTTACCGACATCCCAATAGAACTTTCAATACCTTTGACACTCAACTTATCCTACTATATCAATCGTTATTGCGCTCATAACTACTTGAAAAACAAAATGTGGCAAAATGCGCAAAAAATCGGAAACAGTGTTATCAAGTAAAAAATATTCCCCTCTTGTAACAAATTAGTATGGCGAAGGTGCTCGCAGGGATGGACAACTAATGTCTGCGGTCTTTTTAGAAGTGGCAGTAGGCCTCACGTGGCCACAGACCGCATGAATTCAAGTAGTGGGGCATATCTGTCCCGAAGATCCGTAGCAAAATCCCCACCCCTGCTTTAAGGTAACCATGCAGCGGTGTGTGACGTGTACAAGGGCTGTACAAGGCAAGGGTTGTACAAGGCAAGGGCTGTACAAGGCAAGGGCTGTACAAGGCAAGGGCTATACAAGGCAAGGGCTGTACAAGGCAAGGGCTGTACAAGGCAAGGGCTGTACAAGGCAAGGGTTGTACAAGGCAAGGGTTGTACAAGGCAAGAGCTGTACAAGGCAAGGGTTGTACAAGGCAAGGGTTGTACAAGGCAAGAGTTGTACAAGGCAAGGGCTGTACAAGGCAAGGGTTGTACAAGGCAAGGATTGTACAAGGCAAGGGCTGTACAAGGCAAGGGTTGTACAAGGCAAGAGTTGTACAAGGCAAGGGCTGTACAAGGCAAGAGTTGTACAAGGCAAGGGCTGTACAAGGCAAGGGTTGTACAAGGCAAGGGTTGTACAAGGCAAGGGTTGTACAAGGCAAGGACTGTACAAGGCAAGGGTTGTACAAGGCAAGAGTTGTACAAGGCAAGGGCTGTACAAGGCAAGAGTTGTACAAGGCAAGGGCTGTACAAGGCAAGAGTTGTACAAGGCAAGGGCTGTACAAGGCAAGGGCTGTACAAGGCAAGGGTTGTACAAGGCAAGGGCTGTACAAGGCAAGGGTTGTACAAGGCAAGGGCTGTACAAGGCAAGGGTTGTACAAGGCAAGGGTTGTACAAGGCAAGGGCTGTATAAGGCAAGGGTTGTACAAGGCAAGGGTTGTACAAGGCAAGGGTTGTACAAGGCAAGGGTTGTACAAGGCAAGGGCTGTATAAGGCAAGGGTTGTACAAGGCAAGGGTTGTACAAGGCAAGGGTTGTACAAGGCAAGGGCTGTACAAGACAAGGGCTGTACAAGGCAAGGGCTGTACAAGGCAAGGGCTGTACAAGGCAAGATTTATATTTCTAGGCGGAGCTCGCACCTGGCAGTTGATGAGTGGCGGAGAGCGGGGGGAGGTCAGCGGCGACAAGATGGAGACTCGGCTCTGCTCTTCCTCATCAGGGGAGGACTGAGAGCGTTGCTGCACGAGGTCGAGCACTCTTCCGGCCAGCGGCGAGAGCGTTGGGACCACCTCCGTCAGCACCTCCTGTAGCAGCAGTCGTGTTTACAGGCCACATACCGTATACATAAGATTACATAGGTAACGGGAAAAAATGCTGAATGCGTGGAGAGATAAAAGGTAAAGGAGCAGCCCTGCAATTGTGTGCTCACACCACTGGTGGCAGAAACGCCTCCATTAGAAGGAACAAGCTAGAGCCCTTTTAGAGTTTATTTTGGCCTACTCTTTCATGCTGTCCATGTCTTTGAAGAGGTGGGAACAATCACACAACTACACGCGACCTGCGCATGGTGTACCAATTTATACCTCTGGGTGGACAGAGTGGGGGCGATTTCAGAAACTTGCACTACTGTTTAAAATGCTGCATGGAGTGGTGGCGCGCTTTGAATTTTAGTACACTGAGAAACAGAACAAAGAAGAGACATAACATGTCCAGCATCCACATCTTTGTCCCAGCGACCGCTGAGACCGTCAATCCATGCCTTCATAACATCGCGACTCGTCTTCCATACGGCTTCTCCAAAAAACTTCAAATTATCCACAACGCTGCTCTTAAGACTTCTCACCGGCAACCAATAAATGAGACAGTACTCTGATTCCTGCCCTGGCTTCCAATACAATGCCCATCCATCTCCAAGATCCTCCATGGACTTGCCCCTGCCTACCTCTCTTCTCCCATCTCGCTCCGCTCCAGGCACTCTCCCACCCTCCCCTGTCATCTCACTCAACTCCCTTCCAGCTCGCTTTACTCTCCTCTATGCACTCTGTTCTAGCAACCAAGGCCTTCTGTCAAAGTTCCCAAGCAATCTGTGCTCAGTAGGTCACTCATTCTCCTGTTGGCCCCATAGTCTAGAACACACCTACCCGGATATTTTCGCTCTCAAATCCTTTCTCCCGCTCAAGTCCATGCCGAAGACCTTTCCCCCAACCCCACTGCCTATGACTGCCTCTATGTACGGTACAAAATAAACATGCACAGTTTTGTACGGCTTCTTGCGATGCGGTCGCACTCAGACGCTATGTAAATCCAAATTCTACGCGATTGTTCACCGTTCAGGGAACGAACTCCAGACACATCATAATGACCCTTAAGAACGTAGGCTTGGTCAGAAGGGACGGTAGCTCATTGATGAGAATTGGCGATATGATCGGCAGACAATGGACAGAACACGGAGGGCCCGAGTGATGAGATCAACTCATGTGCAGGAGCTACAAGGATCGTGACATTGTAGGAGGCCATCCATTTAGTGGGTAAGCAAAAATCTGTCAAAACTTCACCCCTTCCCCCCTCCCTGTAGGCACGCGGACTTTTTACACCCCCTCCAACCCCCCCACCGAATCCTATAGAACGGCCGATATTTAATCCATGCAGAAACGATCAAAGATTAAGCAAACAGATAGTCCACTGCCGGACTATCTAACTCATTTGAAGGCCAATGTAGACAAATTATTATCGAGGCTTCACCCCCCCCTCGCCCCTCCTCCATGCGTCCGTACGAGATGGATGTCCCCTAGGTACATGAGATGGCGATGACATGGAGATGGGCCTTCAACCAGCAGGTCAAAGGTTAATTGGAATCAACTCCACAAAATAACACTTGGCTGTAGCTTATTGGTATCGCATAATCAAGAGTAATGCGGTGCTGTAATTGAACTGTACTCAAGCAATACGTGTAAAGGATCGGAGCGGTGGTACAGCGGTTCTAAACCCAGCTTCCAGACGTTATATTCCAATCGTGAAGTATGGCACAGACTGGTGGAGGATGTCACAGCGAGGTGACAAGGGTCTGTAAACAGTAGCGTTTTCTTGTTAACAATTAATAACAAGTCGCAATTGTAATCACGTTCATAATAGCGACCATGACGATGGTCGTTATAGTAAATCACCGGGCTCCATTTTCGCTCGTATCGCAGTTTCCCTTGAGCCGAGTTGCGCAGCGCTCCCAAGACGTCCCACTTCTTGTCCATCGCGTCCATGTCGCCCGGTGTGCGAGAAGCACAACGAGAGGGCACACTCCACTCGCTCGCTCGCTCCACTCCACTCGCGTGCCCACTCGCTCGCTCCACTCCACTCGCGTGCCCGCTCCACGTGCCCGCTCCACTCGCGTGCCCACTCCACGTTCGTGGTCCTCACGCCGCGACCGGCCGCCGTTCGCGAGCGCTGAAAAGTCGCGCGGGACGGGGTCACGCGGAATTCTGGGTAATCGCTTCCGGGTCAGGGAGGGAACATATCGCCAGCGGCGATATCACGATATGACGATATAAACGAAGGCACGATACGGCGATACCACCGCATAACGAGACGACGATGTGACGATATCGCGATATTATGAGACTAGGATATGAAGATACGATATGACGATATCACGATATGACGATATCGCGATATTATGAGACTAGGATATGAAGATACGATATGACGATATCACGATATGACGATATAAACGAAGACACGATACGATACCACTACATAACGAGACGACGATGTGACGATATCGCAATATTATGAGACCAGGACGTGAAGATACGATACCACGATACCACGATGTGACGATATCGCGATATTGCGATGAGACCAGAAAATAAAAATACGATATAATAAGGGGCCGTCCATATATGACGTCACGTGATTGGACGATTTTTTACCCCCCCCCCTCGTCACACGGCGTCACGAAAAGTCAGACCCCCCCTCAAATATGACGTCACAAAGCTCTGCCCCCCCCCCCCCAAAACCATATTTACATTTTGAAAATAAAACATGCTTCAAATCGCTTTAAACTATTGTCATTGTAGTGCGTAGCGTATTTAATGTGGCGCTGCACTCTGATGTTGTAGGAGAAAACATTTACTAAAAAGCCACGTATATGAAAATTTTAAATAAAAATAATGAAACTAATTAAATGAAAATAACTAAATTAAATCACCACGTGGTCTGCTGTCTGAGCAGACCACGCTTTCCCACCTGATGACGGACGCTTGTGTTGCGCCCGAAACGTCGTGATTTAATTTAGTTATTTTCATTTTATTATTTTCATTATTATTATTTAAATTTTTACCGAAAGGACCAAAGAGTATGGATCCTTGCAGTCACGAAAACTTCAAATCTAGAATTTACTAAAAAGTCTATTTAATTAAGTAGAACATGTTGTCTATATTTATTTAAAGTTGCGCATTTTGATGTGACGTCACATTTCTCAACCCTCCTCGTCACACATCGTCACAAATGTCTGTCCCCCCCCCCCCAGGTGCGTGACGTCATTTATGGACGGCCCCTAATATGACGATACCACGATACGATAAAACGGTACTACAATATGAATACCGTACAGTATGTGATGACGATGTCACAATATTACAATACCACGACACAAAGATGGGACAGTACCACGGTATGACAATACCAGGATACAAAGACAGGATGCGAGCGTAATGTACTGTGACGATACCACGATGAGTCGATACAACATGACAATGTCATGATATTACACTATCATACGATGCAATCTATAATGTGGCGATATAACAATACAGTATATATTCTTGGGTCTTTCGGTGAAGTCACGTAGAAAGGTTCAAAGAAAGTAACAAAAAAAACAACAACGAAAACGACGACGTTTCGATCGCAACACAAGCAATCGTCATCAGGAGAAGTAGAAAGCTGCTGAGTCAGGATGTTTTTAAATGGGTGGAGTCATAAGTGAAGTGGGCGGGGCTAGTGATGCTAAAGTGAGAAATTAGCATTTCAATGTAAGATCGGAGAGCCACCACCACATCGAGGAAAACGAGCAACGGGGGCTGTGTTAGTGACACATTTAACCTGTTAATGTAAAAACATTTAACCTGTTAATGTAAAACCAGAGAGTCGAAAATAACTACTGAGATCGGAAGGTAGGATGGAAACGCCGCAGCCAGTTCTAACTTAAACTGGTTAATAACGTCCTGACAATGATTGCTCAGTTTGTACCCATCTTCTCGGTTGAAATTGTGTTTGTGTCTATATATATGGATGGCTTCATGAACTAATTTTTGTTGATAGCCAGTGGGCTTGGAAAGTACCTTCGTCTTAGACAAATAAATTTCGTGTGAGCCCACCGCATTAAAACAAAGATCAGCTGTGACCGAGGTATTGGTCCTACCATGTTTCAGATCTGCCTGAAGTTTCCCCAATGTAACTACTGCCGCAGATACAGCTTAGTTTGTCGACACCGGGGTATTGCATGTCAGAGATCACATCCTTCTGTTGTATATGCCGGGTATAAAATTTTTAATAAAAATAATACAAATTTAATGAAATTGAAAAATGTACGTAATTGTCCGAAATTATGTAAATTGTTGTAAATATACGCATACATTATGCTAATTAAGTTATGCAACTGTATGTGATTATGCTAATGTAAGCCGTTATGATAATTAGGCCCTGCCTCACTGTCTAGGGTTGTATTATCAATCGGGATAATACAATGAATTATATGAAGTTATGCAAGTGTGATGTAAGTATGCTAATTTAAGCTTGGCTTCGTTGCTTATGGTTGTATTATCAATCGGCATAATACAATTATTCTCGCATTAACATGTACTTATGTCTTAGTGTGTTTATGTCAGGTCTTTAAATTCAAATCTCACCGCAGGATACAGTTCTTATAATTAAGATTATTATGCATGAACTTAGGAAGGCACCACTCAGACACTTCTGTGTTAAGCAACTTTAATTTCTAAATAAAAACATAACACTCTAATATGCGAACTCTTATGCTTGGAATTGTTAACACAGTACTCCTGGAGATGTTTTCCTCATTGATCCGTACCTTTAACCCTCAATGATTACGTTGTTCAACTGGGTAACAATTGATTAATTCCTCAAAGTAACGCGAGCATATACGGCGATTGGAAAAAGTCCTTAATATTCATGCGATGATATTCATACAAATGGCAATAAACAAACATGTTCCTAAAGCAAGAGTCGTTATCAATTAATTCATTTTATTGTTTTATATTTTTATTATTTTATTGTTTCCCTTCTACGTGACTTTACCGAAAGAACCAAGAATAATTAATTAATTAATTGGCAAGATTACGCAATTGAATCATTTGGCGGGACCCCGGGGTCCCACAAAAATCAGGTCAATAATTATTATTTTTCAGTCCGCCCACTACGTGATCCCGACAGCAACACGCCGCCCGCCCAGACTCGCACCAACAAGCGCCAGCAGGCGGCGATCAACACGACGGGCGCCACCCCACCGGCCAAACGCAAGCCCCGGGGGGCGTCCGCCGCAGTCGCGAGTGGCGACGACGCCCTCCGGTCAGCCGTCGATCCTCAGCTTCTTTGCCAAGGCTAGCCCGCCCCCCAGGCAGTGAATTTAACGTGTTTATGTAATTTTTCAACTTTTTACGAAACTTAGTGCCCCGAGTAGCTCTCAACGAGGCCAATCAATTGACGCTAGTTTTGTTGTCGGTAAGGCAGCAAGACTCGCGTCGCTACGCGGTTTTTCCCACCCCGGGGCAGTGATGGGACGCCGGGGTCCCGCCAATTGCTTCAATTAACAAAAACGAATGACTAAAATACATCTACAATCGTATTCATGTAACTCGATGGGCAGCAATGTTCTTCACGATCAGTTGATATTTAACGCACCACCTTGGAATGGCAACCCTTCTTGAAACACAAAGAAAACTTTTTGGAACAATGTTATTTTTTTCCGATATGCCTGTTGTGTGTGTTTGTCTTCTTTGCCACTTGTTCAATTCTTTGCGTTAAGCAGACGCCGAGGTTGGGCATCCCTTGTATAAAAAATGTGTTTGTTCCCTGCGGAGCGGTGAGGGTGTGAGGGTGGGCGTGGCCACAGTTTCTGTCCACAGCTGGCTGGAAGAGTCGGCGGCACGAGGCTCGCCGTCGGCGCGCGATGATCCCGTCGTCAGATAGCGCCCGCAGCTAGTCCGCTGGCAGCTGGCACCCTGGCTTGGTGACGCTGGTGGGAGTGTGGGTCGAACCCACGGCGCTCTCGCCGGCGCTCTCCTCTTCCTCACGGGCGGCTGGTCAGGCTCTTTCCTCTGCTGGATGAGCCGAGTCGGCACAACGCTTGTCCGCTGGCAGCTGGCACCCTTGCCTGGTGGCGCTGGTGGTGCTGCTGCGAGCTCTCTCTGGCTCCGTGCTCTTTGGCGATGCCCGATTGCGCGTGCAGCTGATTCTCTGCGATGCTGGCTGGGTCTATGCTTGGCGCTTTTCGCCCTTTCTCCCGGTTGATTGCTTGTCGTTGCTCGGCACTCTATCTCTCTCCCTGATCGTGCTAATGCCGGGTGGGAGCTGGCACTCAGGGTAGAATGACTTTGAGCGATACTTCGTCTGTCAGCGCCGAACTCGTGTTTAGTGACACATCGCTACTCGGCAAGCCTCACCATCCTTGGTCTATTGCAGAGTGCCACCCCGGAGCTTGCCGCTTGCAGAGCTCAACTATTTGTGTTGACTTTGTATACCCGTGGCTTCTGCTGGTGCAGATCGTTGACGATGTGCCAGTCACGGGGGCAGGTTCCCGGAGCCTGCCAATCGCAGCTGCTCGTGGGAGCTGGCACTCACTCTCAAAACTTGTAAATTGTATTCGCACACCTCTTACACAACTCTGATAGCTTAGTACAACACAACTTATCGCAATCCTTGACTCTGCAAGCGACTCAAAACATCAGGATAAATGTAGAATCACTTTCAGCGATACTCTGTCGGTCCATGCCGAACTCAGCACCTAACATCACCTCGCCCCTCTTCTCTGCGAGACACAGCGCCCATTGCTAATGTCGAGGCCATTGCCCCGGAGCCTGCCCGTCGCAGTACCCTCTGTCGTTCGCAGCACTCCACTTGCATGATCTGTGTCCGTGCTTAAATGTGAAATTGTCTCCCCTCTCTCCGCGTCTCTTGCGAGAGAGAAAAAACAACAGATGCCCTCTGTCACCGTTCTCCTCCCGTGGCCGCAGCGGCCTGGCTGCCCCCCCCCCCCCTTTTTGACCTTTGATAGTTTATGTTTTTGTTTGCATTCCCAACCCCTCTCTTCGTGGTGTCTACTAAAAGGGAGGGGAAGCACCCTTCATACGTATTTTATGGCTACCGTGTGTTTGTGTCAAATTGTTGGAAGATAAAGGTGGCCGGGGAGGCTCTGATTTCACGAAATACATATTATCTGGTCTTGTGTGTTTGACCTATTTTCTTGTATCTCTTATGAG